AAAACAACAACACAACTGAAAAAAATCCTTGAAACACTTAGGAGAAGGTGTTTTGCGTCTTATTCCCGCTTTTTTTTCCAGCGGGAACGTTTTGAAGGTTTCTTTTTACATCAATTTAGACTGAAGTCTGTAGAAATGGTGTGGATTCAAAAGCGTCGGAAATGCAGCGTAAATCGAAACCAAGGATGCCCCGTAATGTTGCGGTAAGGGAAACCACTGAAGCCGAATTTTGTGTTATGCACGGTCTGGTTCGATCAGTCGCAGATCAGGGTCTAGTCTCTATCTCAAGCCTAAAACCGTTAAGCGCAATATATTCTTGGCTAACCAATCTTGGGCAAGATATTAGTAGACGCATTTCAAGACATGCGAGTTAATAGTGTCCCTTATATTCCAGGGAGGGGAAAGGGGCAAATCAAAAATAGAAATAATGACACTGTAATTATATACTTTGACAAAACTGGGGAAGGCTAATTATACTGACAGCTTAGCAGTATAACACCTCCAATGTTATCTGCCACTCTGCCTGAAGTTGTGACGCTGACTAGCAAAATTGCGGGAAGAATCAAATACCGATGGCTCAAAAACGGGGAGGGGGGCAGTGCTCACCAGGTGCCCCCACTGAAATTTATACAGGCTACCTTCTGAAGGCAAAAGAAAATCACTCTAAAAGAGGAGCCATAATTACAAAGGACAACTATTTTTCGAGTTGTTTTATGGCTCCTTGGCAGAGTGGAAATTTCACTCTTTTGGAGTGGTTTTCACCCTTTTTAGAGTAGTTTTTACAGTGTCACAAGACCAACACTGCACCTCTCGTCTGAATTCAAGTCACAAGCTTTTCAAATGAACTGCAACAAAAGCACTCCTTTGTCATTGTTCACTCTGTTACTCATGTCTGGTCTTGTGCATGGTTTTGTGTCTGGTGTTGTGATGGTCTCGACTGCAAGACTGGGTTTTTACTATCTTTAGAGTGGTTTTAACTCTTTTTGATTGGTTTTATTAATAACTCACTCTTTTTATGAGTGAATTTTTAACTCTTTTGCGTTTAGAAAAGTTAATTTGTCACCTATACCACGAACTGACACTTGGTTGCAAGTAAGTGTCAGTTCGTCAAAACTGCACTATCAGTAATTTCGGTTTCACGAACCACATTGTACACTGAAGCGAAATAGACCGCTTGTCGTTTCCACGAACTGACACCCAAACTTGTTACTGCAACTCAGCGCAGAGAAAAAATGTTTTGAAAGGTTAGACATGAATTAAATCCATTCATAATTTGCTGCCTAACCCCAACATTTAACTAATATTCATTTTAACTAGCGAAATTAAGATCTGCATCAATTCGTGAAAACGAAAATACACGAAGTTCACGCTAGAAGTGGCGCGCTGGATCGGGTGCCAGTTCATGAAAAAAAATAACTCGGTTCTCTAACATGCGCACAAATGAGATCACCTCGGGGACGACTGAGTGTCAGCTCGTGGTTTCGGTGACGAATTATGCCCTCGTGCCTCTTGTTACAAAGTGCCCCTCACTAATTTCACCCTTGTTGCACGTAATTGATAAACACAAACGAAACATCCAGTAAGCTTGATTACTTATCACTAATTTATTATATTTCATGTTCTTACCACAACATAATTTACAATGGGGTTCACTTAAATACAGTTTGACGTAAGCTGTGTTTGTTATAAAGCAAAACCTTACAAAACCGAACAGAACAAATGCGTCATTTTACTTCATTATATAACGCGCAAATACTATCACAACGAAACTATATCGTATCCCATAACCTTTGTAGTCAAATTTCAAATGATTCCCTCGCTCGGCAGTGGATTCGTGTAAATATTCGTGCTTCAAATTCGCAAAAATGAAGCACATTCCAACTCGAGCGAATATTGCATCAAAATGTTTTGTTACCTCAAATCCGATTCGCTGTCGTGTTCGCCTGTCGTGTTATGAACCTGCCTCACTGAGTGTGAAACATGTAATTTACATATAGGCATGGGGACTTATCCCGATATTTTAATCTCTTGGTTATTGTATATACTTAATGTTTTATACTTGACATTGACAAATAACATTGCTTGTTTCTTCAATCCTTAATTGTAAAACAATTTTTAGTACTTATAGTTTCTTGTCAGGTGAGTCATGTTCCCTTTATTCATGTCAGGTATCTTTAATTCCAAATGACCTCTTTGTTCCTGTCTGTCCATTCCCATTATTAAAACTTGAGAGATATCGCCGCGATGACGGGTCACCACCGTAATACCCGTGGTAGCTGCGGGGTCAGGCGTGGTGATCTCAGCAGTGACCTCTGTAATGACGTCTGTAGCAGCCTCAGTGGTCATCTCGGAAGTAGTTTTTCTTGTAGTGACCTCAGTCGTCACTGTGGGCGTGGTTGTCATCCTTATCGTGACCATCGCTGGGATGGTCCTTGTCCTGGGAGGACTTTATCCTTCATCTTTCGTTCTTTGCAGAATCTTTAAGGTTGAACTAAAGACTATCAAACAATTTCAAGGATTTACGATTTATTTTTAAATACATAAATGTATCAAATCACTTGGCCATGTAGGGATAACTAGAAATTAAAAGAAATAGCTAAGACACTTACCCAACAAAGCAATAAGGAAAACAAAAGAAGCCTTTCTGCAGACGGCCATCGATGCAACAGTGCTGAATGTTTCAGATAAATCCGTCAAGCGCTTGGCGATTCAAAATCTCCTTGTTTATAAAATTGTTGTTGGCTTGTGAAAACTTTTTAGAAATACTCTTCGGCTGCCTTTGTACTTTTGTTTTGGTTTGATTACGTCAGAACAGGAAATGTGAAAAGAGTACACAAAAGCGCGGGAAACTGACAAAAAGTTCCATTGCCACGTTGCGCGTTAAATGCTTAATCTTATGGTACATCCGGACGTGTCAAGCAGAATGCTGCATCATACACATAGTGCATTGACATCCTGATGGGTTGATGAGCGATCCAGATGGGGAACTTGTACCGAAACCACAATTCTGTTCTCTTTGTGGTCGTTCTTCAACAAAATGAATAGTTGCACAGAAAAAAAGGCCTAAACCTTTAATTGTCTCTCACATCCGTGCGCTGAAAAGTCACACGGCCACGGGCGGTGATTCTAGAGGAGGAAATTGGAGGGGTACGTACGAATATAATAGACGACTTTAGCAGGACTTTACAGTTTTTTAATGCAGCATAAAAACCTCTCTCTTCAAAATCGACTCTTTTCTCTCAAAAGATTCGATAATTTACCCGATAGCAGGCATGTTTTAATTTGCTAACTCCTTGCAGTGCTGCTCTCATACACGACCATATCAGTGAAAAGAAACAGTTTTTTCTTAGTGAAGACCTCGTGCTTAAAATCACAAAAAAATCAATATTTTTGGGGTAGGGACAGCTACGTCATTCCTATGATTAGTCGAAAGGCAGTCAGATGAAGTCTAATGATATCAACTTGGAGCCTTTTTTCTGTAAAAAAAGGCATTTTTTCAATAAACGTTAAATAAAAGTTTTCCTTCAGGACGCCACTTTCCTTCAATATTTATATTTTTTAGATAATTCTTTTTATGAGTAGGATTTGCGTATGAATCCCCCAAAATGGAAATAAAAATCACAGTCTAAAAATGGCATCTAGACAGGATATGTGTCATGATGTCCTTAGCCTGTGGAGGTTACCTGACTTGCTGTTTCTTTAAAGACAAATTATACAACTAACAAGTGTGTACAAAGAAACCTTTTCCAAGATCTGCGCACTTATTATTGTCCTCCTTCGTAAATTATGGTGTGCGAAAAAATGAACAGACCGGCTGGGCTGTGGTCGGGTTTCTGTCTCGACAAACCTGAAGAAGAGATGGCAGAAATAAGACACTATAAAAAATTGTTTTTGCAGTGGAAAAACTCAACGTGAATTCAAACCTGTGTAGCTTTGGTACTTCCCCTTCTATTTAACACTGATGTAAGATATGCACTCCCGACATCAATTTCTTGCCTGGTCTTTCTCTGAAGCCAGTGCACCTTTTTGCAGTTCTTATTAAAAGATTTTGATAATTCTTTGTCGCATTAAATATTAAATCTGCCAAAAGAGTTTGAGAAGGGATTGAAAAATGCAACAATGACATTTCTCACGAATGCTGACCAATATCACTTAGTATTTCATATTTATTGAATCTTTAGTAAAGTACACTGAATGATACAAGTTGTGTTAATGAACATTGTTGACCATTCCTCCTTGTTAGGTAAGACAACGCTAAACAAATATAGCATGCATTGATAAAATCAGAGCCAAGCGCTTATCTGTCAATTGCGAAATCATGAAAAGCTAAAAGACCCATGTGCTCTGGACGAATGCAGAAATAACAGAGGATAGTAAAGAAATCATTTTTAATTCTGCTAAAGCTCGTCATCGTGAAGTGCATATCAATTCTCACAAGACACTGTAGAAAGGAGCGGGCTTCTTTCACAATGATCATTCTCAATATTTTGTAGTGTTATAACTTATCTTGTGGTAAGGGATCTGATTCTAAAATTAAATTACATAACAAAATATTTTCACTTCCAACAATAACCAAAAAAACACCTCAAAATCTAAAGTAAGTGAGCGTAAAAATATCGGTCCAATGGCTGCAGATAGCAGTTATGTAAAGTCTTTCAACGATGGACTTTTCGTAAAACCTTCAAATTACTTCAAAATATTTTAGTACCGGTAGGTTAGAATAAATGTATTAATGGTAAATCTGTAATACAAGTTTCTAGATGATTTGTTGAGTATGTGATTGACATAATGGCATACACTGGTTCTGGCAGTAAGGGCTAATTACAAATCAGAAACAATCACGTGACTGTTATATTTTATTTATTAATTTTATTTGTAACAACAGTTGTTGATTCGCCTTTGCTGGTGTGTGACTATGGCGATTGAAGTTTAGTATCTAGTTAGTGTAGGACCGCCTTGTTACCCTTTTCCCGACTACATATGCAAATATTCCAACCAACACAACAGCGCCGACGGCCGCTCCAGAGATGGCGATCCGTTTCTTGTAGGAGTCGCTCAGGCCCTTCTCTTCCTCGGGTTTTCCTTCGGGAGCTTTTGTAATCGGCGGGGTGGGTTCGATCTTCATTGTCGTCCCGGTTCCCGAGACCTGTTTGGCTTTATCGGCGAGCGACCCGACGGGCAAGTTAGGCTTCTGGAAGTTTGAGGCGTCATTGTCGATTTCGATGTCGCTGCCCAGGCTGGCGGGGACGCCCCCCTCACTGCCGATGCTCATGCTGATTGACAGGGAACCCTCTCCGATGTCGGCGTCAGTGTCGGAGGTCGATACCAGCGGTCTGACCGAGTTCTGAGAGGTAGTCTCCTCTGCGCTCTCTGCATCGGCCTGTTGGCCTAGCACACCGGCTTGCTCACCGCTCTCTGTGTTCGCTCCAATTGCTCCAGGTTGTGTTTCCTCTTCGCTTTCACCGCCCCCACCGGCGGCCTGAGCCGCCCCCATCGCACCAGCTTGTGCCTCCTCTCCGCTCTCCCCGTTGTCTCCTCCCATCTGAGCCCCTCCGATTTGCTCCTGCCCATCCTGTTGTCCGCCACCAATATTGAAGAAGGGTGAGGAGCCGTCGGTGTCCATTTGAGTCTTCTCCCCCTTACCGGCCCCGACGACCGGTGCGCCTGGCGGCACCTCTGCACCCCCAGTCTCCCCTCCTTCACCGGCCTCTCCAGCTCCCTCCGACCCTTCTCCGGCTTCTCCAGCTCCTTCCGACCCTTCTCCGGCCTCTCCAGCTCCCTCCGACCCTTCTCCGGCTTCTCCGGCTCCCTCCGACCCTTCTCCTGCTTCTCCAGCTCCCTCCGACCCTTCCCCGGCCTCTCCGGCTCCCTCCGACCCTTCCTCGGCAGCCTCTCTAGCAGCCTCCTCCGCTTCGGCGGCCGCTTCTGCGGCATCTTCTGCCGCCTCCGCGTCAGCTTCGTTCTGCTCGGCGTTGCCTCCCAACTCGTTGCTCTCTGCATCCCCACCCCCGCCACCGACCTGTGCTCCTGCCTCTTGCTGCTCGCTCTCTGCTTCACCTTCTCCTACCTGTGCGACCGGTTTCCGCTGTTGCTTCGGTCTTAGTATATCGGCTAGGCCTAGCTGCACTCCCTCGCCATCTTCTTGGCTCTCCTGGTCCTGAGCATATACAAAACCTGAAAGCAAGAAAGAAAATCATTGTCATAGTCGAGGCCTCTCAGACCATCTATTCACAAGATCTCCAGTCTGAGTTCAAGGAAAAGTCTCAAGAGGTTCAAATCTACTGCAATCGAACCATTCTTTTATTACTATTATTTATCCTGAAACTCATGATGGGTCTTGTGACTGGTGTTGTGACTGATGTTATGACTGGTTTTGTAACTGGTAACCAGTCTTATGACCGGTCTTGTGACTGGTCTTGTGACTGGTCTTGTGACTGACATTGTGTAAAGGTGTAGTCAGGTCTTGAGATGGTCTCCAGTACAACGCTGAAATTTTCGTTTTACTGTTAAAGGCTTGATCAAAATCATTGCTTTTCTTCTGACTACGACAGATGCACCACACTGAAGTCGGAATCTCAATTGAAATCCATTGGATGACGATCTCATTCACTGAAAAATTGATACGATATAGAGTACAGGTTTGAACTAAGATGAGCGGCTATTCACAGAAGGCGCTGTCAAGTCCAGGGGCGAAGCGGAAGCATTTTCTTGTGTGTTTGTTGGGGGAGGTGCCAGAGTTATTTTATCGATTTGTAACTTGAGCATCAACCTCAAGTCGTGTCAAATGGAAATCCATGGCACGTTACATTTCATGCTTCAGGGGAAAAGCCGACGGCTAATTTACATCGTTTCTGTACTAATTTTGCATTCATGCCTACCGAAGCTCTATTTGCGGACTAGAATTGATTATGGGGGGGGTATTCCACCCCCGGTAATGTCATATCAGGGTTTTTTTTAAATTTGAAAACAAATTTTTCTTGTTGAAATACCGCTTTTCCTATCATGATCCTTTAGTGGTGAAAGAAATCCAAGAAACTCTGTAGGCTGACTTTTGTGCCTAAAATAAGCTCCGTTAGGTTCATTTGTTTCAGACACTCAGTCTATACGTACTATGTTTGAGTTCTACCCAAATGTTGAAGGTATGAACCCAAATACCGAGCACCCCCTTCCCCAAAACAAGAAAATCTAACTAAAGTATAAAATTTCTAATTCATAACTATCAGTGATATTGATCTTCAGATTGTGTACTCGCCAAAGCAAATGTTCAAGTACATAGTAAAACTGCCAAAGAAGGGGCTATTGTGAGAGTGCGTTACAATATTCAAGGTGCCCAATGAGGGCGCTTTCTCTTTTCATGCATCAGAGTCGTGGATGCAATCAGTCTGTCAATGGAACCAGATGGTTCCATTCAGTATAACATAACCGTCAAAAAGTGCACGAGGTCCTAATGCCTTTTAGTAACTACCATATTGTGCCCAATTTTCCGCATTTACCGACACAATTGTAGTCCAAAAATCGTGACACATAACTTCCATGTGCGGATGTATTGTACGTTGCGCACGAACAAGGAAACATACAAGCGCGATCAACTTCCAAAGAATCGTAACTTCACGGTAACATCAAAACATCATTTGTAAGTGAGTAATGTCGTAAGAAACTACTGCCATGTCACAACTCTCGAACTTTCTCTTACTTCATTTTTATTTTATAGTATGTTGCAAAGCCTTGTGCCTAATTTTAGTGCCCATTGCTGCACTATTGCTTTTCAACGACTGTTCCATTATTTAAGAGTTGCGACGCATTAAGTTCTTAAATCTTCACCCGAATGATTGCACAAAAGTTGTTTGAAATTTATCACTCATTCAGCATTTGAACAATATCGTGGAGGCCTTCTTAGTATTGGTATATAGGCGCTCACCACTGTCAAGTAAGCTGCATGGAACAAAGATGACGTTTATTCCAAGCAGGTTTCATGCCGATCACGGTGTAATAATACAGCATATTCGTCTCAGTATTTAAACGGACACGCCCCTGTTTTGGGTCCCTGTAAGTTCCCATAGCCATCTCAAACTTTAACAAACGTCTTGACTAGAGCCAATTAGTTGCTCTTCCAGCCAATCAGAAGTAAGACCGATTTCGAGAAGAACAAAACATGTTGCGCCTGAGCTTGTCGCCGGAATTTCGTAGATTGAAGAAATCCGATAGGACTCACCCGCTATGAGAAGGACAGCAAGAACAAGCCGTGTTATCTGATGTCTCGACGCCATTTCAGCAACCCTTTGTGATGTGTGTGGCGAATCCGGAAGAGTTTCAAGAAACACAAGAACACAGTGAGTTAGCAACGGGTACCAAAGTTGCTTGTAGACTGAGCCTGGCCTGGACGGACAACGGTTGTTCGTAACCGTTCGGCGAGTGACTTAATGCTCTCGTGTTGGCTCCCTTGAACGTCAACCTTGGTAATCACGCGGAAGAGTGGTGTCAGACTAAATAGGCCGACTGGGTAGTTGTTTTTGCACGCTAAGGAGTGTCCAACATTTCGAAACAGCCGGGGCTGCGTGCGGGGGCAGGACGGGGGTCCAAACATAGAGGCGTGACTTTAATCACGGAAAGGGGGGCTCTGAAGGATTTGATCCTGGAAACATTGGCAACATTCCACCCTGCTCTGATGTTTCCCTTATAAGTTCCTCTTAAGCTTTTTTTTAGATTAACAAAGAATAGGCTCATCAGAACGGTTTTCCTGAATTCACTTCTTGTCAAAGTTTAAACTTTAAATTTTGCATTGCTGCCCTATTTTCAAAATACGTCATGGTAAAAATAATACACTAACAGTGTGGGTACATTCAAATAACACTGCAGCCATGCGGCCCTGCGCCATAGATGACTAAACTGATTCCATTGCATAATTATTAAAAGGCCAATATTAAATGATGTTTCAACGAACCTTTGTTGATTTTTGTTGCGGCTGTTCCTTAGGGTTTCTCGGAACCTTTTGCATTTTAAACTAGTGATTTACATATGCACGAGGAAATTATGACGTCAACTGAGGCGGAAGCTTGGATGTCCTATTATTACTGCTACCAGTAATTTGTGGATGCTGTTGACTGTGTCAGGTCTCTGATTCGTATTGTCTTTGTTGACCAAGAATGGCAGCCGCTTCTTTGGTACGGTGACTGGCCATCATAATATAACAATTTCTAAAAGTGGATTTGTGAAGCTGTGTTCAATGACAACCTAAACCTTTCAATGTTAATATCAGGTACTTAATTTTCTTGCATTTTGACAAATCTTATTCACTGATCTATATACTCTTCTTCTGTATTTAATATGGCCTATCAATCAGGCAGAGGCTACTATGGCTGAGGAGACAAGAAGGGTAATTTTCTGACGCAAGATTCTAATTCATATAACGACAAAGTAAATTTCAGTTACAACATTGAAAAGTAGGTCGAATGATACGACATTGCAATAATCTACATCGACAATTGCTATTGTTGCAAAACAAAGAATTCTTCTTAGGCCTACGACATCGAGAATTACACATTTTATTGTCATACGACGTCTTGAGCTTCTATAGCGCAGTTGCATACTTCAATGCCTATCAATAACGGCGTGAATTAATCTATCACAGCATTGCGTTAATCAGAAATCACACGGGAAGACTAAAGACAGCTAGGTCACATTTGCGAATAAAAAGGCTACTCTCCCTTTTTTATTTCCCCTGAGTCCTTCGTATGGTTTCTGTTTGCAGCCCTTAGTAAAGATAACCCATACAGAACCTGAATAAATACTATTTGGGGCCAATCGGTTGTTTCAAACGCACATCCAGTTACATTGGCGAAGGACCATAATACAATCTTTAGCATATTTTAACACTGACTATATTTTCAAGTTTCCTTTGTTTGCAAATTGTATCGTTTTCCCAAACTTTGGGGCTGGACAGGAAGCACATAATTTTAAGGGACTTATGAAATAAAATTTCTTGAATAGCCCATTCTGTGCAATAGCCATGCATAGAATATTTATGCTCTACAGTGGTCTTAGGAGCAGAGGGTACAAGAGCTGTCCTTTCACTACGAGACAAACTGAGATTTAGTCTCACAATACAAACCAAAACGAAAGAAAACAAATCAAACACAAAATTTTAATCTTTCGTGCAATGGTTCTGCTATCAGTCATGGGGCATAAAATAAATTTAATTAACCAGGCCTGGCAGGATTAGAAACCTGTGGTTCTCTGAAGTGATACCTCGTTGAGAGAAATAGCAACTGGTATCGAAGACCGCCCTCTTACTGTAAATATGAGTAAATACTGATTCAAAATTGGCCTTCATTCGTATCTAAGTTATACGCTGTTTGGGTCTTACGGTATGTTGGCCTTTAAAAAGGGTGTGGGTTACATACTTTCAGACGTTTGAATTCTATTTTAGTATGTAGTGGAGGATATACGTCAGTTGCCACTACCCATTCGACCTTTGCACTGGGTTCCTTTGTGAGGCGTCGGATATTTTTGAAAAATTCTTAATTCTCATTTGAAGATTCGTCACGTCAACGCGCGCCTCTTACGTCATCCCCAACCCCTGACCTTTAGCATCTGTAGCCACGTGGTAGACATGGGAAGCATATTGCGACAAAGACAAGAATGATCATTTCCAATCACTCCGAACCGTCTAAAGGCCTTTGTCAGCCTGGCGTCTGGGAATTTTTTTTTATCCCCTCGAAATTTCGAACGCGACCCCTGAGAGGGAAGGCACAATTATAAGGGTTTATGACGTACTAACTTGGGGGCAATGAGTCAACTTCCTTATATAGGTAACCGTTCGCGTTAACAACACAGGCACTTGCACAAGCCACACCGATCCTTTTTATTTAAGAAAATGGCGGAAAATGAAACAAACCAACAGCTCGAACTAAAACTATCAAAACACGATTAAGAGGTTTACAAACTGACTGTGATGAACAAAGTACATGTATATGACAAAGTTCAAACCGACTCTGCCATAATGTCCGTGTTTTTGCTCAGACATTTCAAAAGAGCAATTTTGGAAAGTGAAGAATTCAAGATATATTTTGGTATTTTTATTTAAAGTTCAGGATGGCTTTTTGTAATGAGTCATCTTGGATTGGTTAACTCTATGAGAACATGGTTCTACAAGCATTTCCGAAATGAAAAACATATTTAGGGTTGTACATCACGCAGTGCTGAGATACACATTTGCTCTCATGTGCAAAAGTTGTCGACGATCCTTTTGGCGTGGGTAGAATGACTTTTTGAATGCTTGTTTAGGGGTTTTGATTCTTTGTGGGTACCCGTATACACTATATTGGGCTGGGATACAGCTGCTACAAAGGGGTGGGTCGGGGAAATAATGCGGGCGAGAATCCGAGGGAGGGGGTGGGGTGAAAGTGAAAGTGAAAGGCGCAATCTTACCGTTTGCAGTAGTGGAGGATAATTTCCCTCCTATATGGTTACACAAACAACTGCCTTTGTGAAACGGAGATAATCGTACTCAGTGGCGTAGCCACGGGGGGGGAGGGCTGGGGGAAGTGCCCCCCCACAAATTCCCCATGCCCCCCAGGTGCCCCCCCAAAAAAAAGGATGAATGGATATTGAACAAGGCTAACAAAAACTTGCCCAAAAAGCAACACCACTGAAAGCTGGTGCCCCCAATAAGATGCTGATGCCCTTTGTGCCCCACTAGTAAAATCCTAGCCACGCCACTAATCGTACTTAACTCAGCTTAGGATGGCATTGTATGCACCAACGAACCTCATTCTATAGACCTTTTCACTCATAAATTCACGCATAAGTTTGCCCACATGCGCATAAAATTAATGGCCTTGGCGACAATGGCCTTGAAAATGTACACGGGTGCGATTCTGATTATTTTCTCTTGGGTTTTCTGGCTTTGTTTTTTTTCTTCTTCAGAAAATCCAATTAAATCGTTTTTGCTATTAGTTTCTAATCCAAGGGGGATTTTTCCCGCTTGATCTCGTTGCGCGCAGGAAATATCACGATTGTATAAAATTTTTTTTACAGGGCACTAAAAATCCCGCTTAGATTAGAAGCTAATAGCAAGAACGATTTAATGGGATTTTCTGCAGAAAAAACTGAACACAGCCAGAAAACCTGAGAGAGAATGATCAAAATCGCACCCCTGTACATTGGCAATGGCCCTTGCCGCCAAGGCTTTTTGTGCGCATGCGTGCAAAATTCTGAATTTATTGGTGGAAAGGTCCATCTCGCGAGTGCATTGCGATAAATACTGTGATAAGGCATCAGTACGTGGGGCTATCGGAATCGACGTTTCGGCCAACATGTTTCAGTCGTCTTCGGGAATGACGACCAGGACACAATACTCAAAACGTCGATCCAAAAGCAACAGTTTTTACCGAGACACTGTTCGGAACCAAAGGGAGGTTCCTGCATGGTGCCATCGCAAAACTTAGCAATGCATGCATTAAATGGAGTTTTGGATGGTAATTGTTGTACTTCTGGGTTATATTTAATGGATGTTTTTCTGTCTTGTGCCACTAGTCACATTTCTACAAATATCAACTATTTGACTCGTCTTGAATTAAAGACGTCAACACAGTCTGGCTCAGAATGTCTTATATCAGAAGCATATGTCACATTTATTAAGTAAAAATGGAAGAATTAACATTTGACATGCCTGTCTTTATATTAAACAGAAAAAAAATTGGAATACACGCTAAAATAATTATGTACAATATCAAGAACGAATTCGGGGAGAAGCAGATTTCTGAAAAAGAAATCTCTTGGGTTTGGCGAATGAACAAAAATTAAACAAAGGCAGGTCACCATGGAAATTATAAACGATTGCAAAATGTTGATGAAGGTTCCTCTTTAGAATTGTTTGTATTGCGACCTGATAGTCAGTTAGTGGTGATAACAGGGACGGTGGCAGTCCTCTAAAGAAATTTGAGTTGAAAAGTTGTCATCAAGAAATGAATTCATATGATTATTTTAGTACTCTAAAGCGCTACGTCTGATCGTTTATTTGATTTCACGGATCTGGGTTCTTACGGAAGAATTTCTTCGCAATGTTGATCAGGCCGAGCAGCAAAAAACTTAGCATGGCGCCTACACCGATGGCCGCAACAAACATGACAAGGGCCATAATGCCACTGCCAGGGGCACCACTCAGCCCGTCTGATTCAGAGTCACCCTTTGCCTCCTTCCCTATCCCATTTGCTTGACCTTTGTGACCTCCAACCTCGTTCCCGTGCTCGGTGGAGACGATGTTCAGGTCGTTACCGGTGTTGGACGAGTCATGGTGGTGGCGCACGCTGTTGGGAATGACGTTGCCGCCCTCCTCAGGGGAAGGGGTTGTGGATTCCGATGGTTCAGTGGGCCTGATGTCGACGACCTCATTATCACCAAGTGCCCCTCCCCTGTCCTCGGACCCCTCCATCTCCTCCCCTTCCTCGTCGATTTGGTTCCCTTCCTGGTCCAGCTCGTAGAGGTCGCTCTCGGCCACCGTCGCGTCCTCTGGTATCGATTCCCCAGTGTCGGACTCGGCGAACACTATGTCGGAATCGCCTTCGGTGGCGTCGCCGTCGGGCACGATGTAGATGGAGCTACTGAGGGCCTCCTCCACCGAGGGCTCCATACTACTCGCCTGGACATAGATGGGGTTCGTACCGGAGCTTGAAGAGAACGCCGAGGCTTCGGAGTAACCGCTGCCTTCCTGGTCGGCAAAGTAGGCCAGGGTCTGACGGTAGACTGTTCCTTCCTCTGATTTCAGCGCTGGAAACGCCCCAGATCCTTCTCGCCAGGGAGCGGCGAGGCACCCCTGCACCCAGACTGAAATGGTTTAAAGCGAAAAAAATGTATTTAATGATAAATGTTGATCAGAAAAACCTCCTGGTAGAGAAGAAACCATAAACCCCCCGTCCACAGATTGCCAAAATATAGTATAGTAACCAACGGATGGTAAAGAGAGCAACTTTCCCCTGGAGATTTTTTAATTATAATGTTTCTGTTGATGGCACATCAGAGAGGTCTGCTTAAGAAAGGCAACCACAAACAAAAACATATTGCCTAAATAAAATCAATAGAAAATTACTACAAAATCCTAACAAGGACGGAGCCGGGGGCAGGCAGCGGGAGCCATATCCCCATGGAGTCCTTTTTAAAATTAATAAGAGCTCTGAGGTTTTTTCAAAATGCCCCTTACATTCCTCCCCAAAAGCGTGTAAAAAGCCCCAAACTGAGCCTCACCTATACGCCATACGCCACGAGAAAGGTTCTTAATGTTTAGCCCCCGTCCCCCCAAAATAAGTTTGCCCCCCACGACATTTTAGCTCTGTATCCATCCTTGAGCCTCGTAACAGAAGACGAATACTGCTGTTCATATTGGACATCCTATAAAATAAAAAATACCTGCTTGATGTCAAGGGGATCGATGGTTTGACTTGGAATTGTTTGGTTTGGTTGGGTTTGTTCTATGAGTGTGACCCAAAAGGGAGCAAAGTGTCTTATTTTCGGGGGGGGGGACAAAGCACTAATCAGCAGCAAACTGACGAACCATCCACGTTGCAAGAGGCTAGCTCGAATATTTCAGTAAGCCCATGATAACACCCTACTCTGAATTAAAAGGAGGCAATAGGAGGCGAGACACCAGATATTACAAGTGGAAAGAGATCCCCCAGGGAAACAAAATTGCAATCATTTCCATTTGGGCATCGATTTCATCAAATATTCAATTTTGTGCGGACAAGAAAAATTAATCTTTTCATAATAAATTCGCTATTCACATCTTCAGTTTCATGATTACACTACAAACGATAAATAGTCGACCGGGGGTTTCCATACACCTTAATATTTGCTCGATGAAGAGGAAATGCTAATTACTTATCTACCTGGTCACATTTCCCTGCAAGTGAAAGAGGTCACTTTTCAGTTTTCCTGGTATACAGTATTTGTCACAATTTTGTTTTGTTTTTCACCAGTGAAAAGGCTGTCTAGTGACAGTTTGTTATGTGCAATTTCGATAATCATTTTTATTGATCATTATAATTTACCGAGCACTATCACAACAGATCGAGACCAAACATCAGTGTGCCAAGGACACAGTTTCATGGCCCTTCTTAACGCAGTTACAAGAAAATTCGAGCTCACTATAACAGAAAATTTTGTAAACCGAAAGCATTATTTCATGGCGGTCCTAAACATGATTGTGCTTATGGTTGCACGCAGTGGAAATGTCCATTGTTTTGTCACACCATTAAGCAAATTCTGCTCTAAGGTAAGCGTACCATTTGCCGTGCTTACTTCTTACGGTCATCATGGAATACACGGAGCCCCTGTTAACGTAATATCGTGTACTTAGCCATGTTAGCAGCGCCATGAAATTGGGCCCTGACGAGGACTAAAATGGCGGATGCCAGTTGCAATTAGTCACTAATAGCAGTTTCCAGGAAGTATATCCTCACTTTTTAATGAGTTACATTATTAACTACCGACTTTTGTTTATGTCCACGTCATTATTTTGAGTATGTTATTGAACAGCCATGAACTAGTTTAAACACAGGTCTGTTTCCCCAAGTAACTTGTAACATACATAAAGCAGTCTACACCGACATTAGCAATAGCCTGTAATTACCTACCACGGGCATTTGTGTGAAGTGTTGCATAATCTGTGTAATTTCCTCCATGGTTCTACGAAGCACGCTTCTCCAACGTAGAAGTTAGACACATGTCTACAGTGTCACTCTTTTCTTGAGAATGTGCGAATTATAGGATCGATTTGGCGGTCATTCCCACCCTTCCTGTCCTGGCTCTACCGCCAAAATAAATCATTCCCACGTGCTAGCTAATGCGCCTACATCTCCGGGACGGCAGTAGTAAACTTCTAGCTTTCACCGAATTTGCTGAAAAAGTGGTACTTTTATAGCAACGTCACTGACAGTACAACCATCCTACGATGACAAAAGAAAGCTTGCCAGACTTAGTGTCCAGACTTACCCGTCAACACGCTCAGAAAGACGGTCCGCCTGTTGAACGCCATGCCTGCTCCTTGGTCTTTTTTTATGAAAAGAGGGTCACAGATTTTGATATTAAGAGAGAAGAAGCGAGTGAGATTCAAGGCATCTGTCTGCTCGTGTCACCCGACTTAAAAAAGATGGGTCTTCCGGACAATGGCAGGGAACACCTCGGGCAGGCAAGAGCGTAAAACGGCCTATAATCAAATTAAGCCGGCTGCTCATTAAGAGAAAAAAGGCGAATTACTGTTAGGGAATGGAACTAGTTGCTGACGCTCGACGGCCGAGTGGGCCAGCCCAACTGGGAATCTACATCCGTTCATCGAACCTGCTACACAGATAGTAAAGAGCGCTCGTGTTTTTTTGGCGTGGCCTCGGAAATCCACTTCTCCCGAGGAGAAAGCTTGGGCAAAGTTGAAAGGCCAAAGCCTGAGCCTGTGTTTCCTGCGTTGTTAACCCTCTCCCAACACAAACTCGTACAGGGGGCAGGCCTACCAGCAAATGAAATATCTGTGGGCAATAATTTTCAATGGTAGATGCCTACAGATATGAAATTTTGATATTTTAATAAAAAATTGCCTTGAGTATGTAGAATTTCAAAAAAATGACTCGTCTATGGTCGTCATTTCTTATTTCCTCTCATGCGCGGACTTTTGTACACTTTCTCGGTATTGGAGATTTTCGAATGAGAAACGTTTCAGTGTTGCCTTCAGATGTGATTTTTTTCCTGTTAACAGAGTCATTTTTAAAAACAGTCTTATTCACCCATTGTATTTCTAAAACTCTGAAACGAAGAAAACTGCCTACCGACCACATAACTTTAGAACGGTCCAGACTTTAGGGTGGGAATACTTAATACGGAAGGATGGATTGCGTAAACGTTGTAACAGGAAGTTATTTTTTTACAACATTTGCCCTTTCCAAAGTAGTTTGGAAATGCGTAATTGTTCTAAGCAAATTAAGTATATCCGTCGCAGTTGTTTCAGATTTAAAGTGCAAATGCGTGTACTTTGCTAATGTCAAAAGTATTGGTAATTCTTTTGGCCATTTAACTCCATGCATCCCCGTGTAAGTTATCATTTCACAGACAGTTTCACGGTGTTATTGTATTACCAACTGCTTGTAGTTATTGCGACTGGCAGAAAGGCTCTTAGGGACGGGTTCGGTTGGCTTGGTTGGCCGGCAGGGGTGGTCGTAAATAATTTGCTTTATTAATTCCCTACTGGTGGGACTAATGTATCTCCATACTGCGCTTGAGACACTGCCCTTTTGTCTTTATCGCCACTTTTTTTACAGTCTTGTGTCTCTTCATGTGTTTTATAATTCGCCTTTGACACAGGTACAAGCCGCAATATTAGGCCCTATTTGTAGAATTGTTATTAGGATTATTACTGACGGTTAGCTGAGACGAAAACTTAGCGTTCTTTGTTCTAAAATTAAGTATACGCAGACAGAGCCCATTCCCCCAAGTGATCCAAATCCGGTGAAGCTAGAGCTGTAGACCTTTATCATGATGCTGCCATGTTTCCCTGTAGACCACTGAACACAGCAATACAACTTCACATACTCGTACTCATACATACGTCCAGCCTCAGTTTGGTTACATTGTTGGGAATAGTAGAAAAGCAAGATGGCTGCCCCCATGATAGAGGTCTAAACCTTCGCAGTGACAAGATCCCAGTTTACTGAAGAGAAAAACACATGTTGGTTCGGTAAAACTCGAAAGGCACGCATCCAATTTGACACCCTTCCCAAAACAGCTGTATGGCTCTCTACATAGTGTAAAACTCCCCCCCCCCGTTAGTTTAATGTTGACATCTGGCACACATGTACGTCTGTCCTTGTCGACTTCCTGTCACCTTAACATGTCATACATTATACCCCCACCTTTTTCCCAACGAAGTGGAAGGTGGTGCTATGGTATGATTGGCTTTGTTACAATCTGACGCGTTAATAAACACACCATACTTTCCAGACCTCATCAGACTTTACGGAAGTTGATCATTAGCCAGTTGTGTGCTTTATTTCTACACTACATAACCACATACTGTATGCACTGCAAAAAAAAAACTGTTAAGCTAATAAACGCTTTTCTGTAAACACTTTTTTGCTGTCAGTCTGTAAAAATGTTTAAATACGTCAAATAATTGTGACGGATTGTGTCTAGTCCATTGGACATTGATGTTTAAGAGATGGACACCAAATGTTTAGTATCTAAACATGCATGTTCCCAAAGAAACAGGAAAATAATGCTCAAAGACAGTTTTCAGAGTGTATTTATAAGCCGGAAGATATACAACGGAAGTCTTGCTTTCTTTATTTCCCAGTAAGTATTTACAGTAAAAAAACTTAGCGTACCTCCGCTTATGATAATGAAGTGATCAGTGAAATGCAATATTTAAATGTCAATTCCACTGTTATAGTACAGTTGATGATTGCTGATAATTGACACCATGTAATGGTTGTTTTGAAGGGCGCATTATTGTCTGATAGAGGAACTGGCCTCCAACAGAGGCTCCTGAAAAAGACAAACAGTTCTGAAACAAGGCAGGGAAATGAATGTATGCAAGGCAGTACACACGTCTGACTAGCCTGTAGCCTTCATCTTTTCTACAGGGTTATTAAATATAATATTACATAATCATAATGTCTCCTCTTCACTTAAGTACAATTCAAGTTGTCATAAAATGGGCCAAAATATCTTCTTATAGTTACTACCTCCATAAAACCCGGCTTTTGCAGCAAGTTGTAAGCATTTCTATTACGAAAACATAAATGAAAACGATTATGTAAATCCCAAATAACACCATTTTTATAAGGAAAAGTCGGCATAAAGGGGCCGGACACATTTTTTATGCAACTAACACATACACAAATAAAACATGAACCGAAGAAACTAAAATGTCCAAACTTTACTTACACCTTTCGGTAAACAATGCAACCAAACAGTTAAACTTTATCATAAAGCCATACAAAATGTTTTGAGTCATAAAATATAATTTGTATTTACAATCAACAAGACACACAAATTCTATTAGCAACATCAACCTTTGTATGTGTGTGCGCATGGCTTTTTGCGGGCAATGCCTTTGAAAGCAATGCCTTTAAGCACAATTCTTAAATGTTTTTATTCAGTAAACGTACAGGGGCAGTAATACGAAATATAACTTTCTGTCCCTCAAACTTTACGAGACGGGTACTTTCCAAAATCAATAACTTGTTACAATAATCTTCTTTTTTTTAAAAAACTTGTCTTAAATGATCCCATTTAAAGAGGAAAACCAGCCTCTTATCCCAGTTGTTTCTGACCGTGATAAGGACATAATTTCAAAACTTGGCGATAACGATGGCAACAGTGGGAGTGGTAGGACTGTAAATGGCAAAGACTGACATTGACAGAACAATATTAACACTGAGCTGAATAAAGAAAAAAACGATAAACGCAAAGTTATAATTAAAATAGGAAGATTTAAATTCTAGCCAACTGCTGTTTCTTGAGGCAGCTCTTCAATGACACGTGATTCACGTTGGGTACTCATCTCCATGGATTCGTAAACTCCGGGCTTTCGCATTGGGGGCGCACTCCTTCTTTTGCGGACGTAATACGCTGCCACGGCCGATCCAGTTAACAGGGCCAGACCCGCGAGCACACCCCCCACCAGGGCCCCCGTGAGCTTCCCTGTGTCCTGCTGGTTGTTGACGTGGTTTGCGATGCCCCCCAGAGTGACTGGCGGATACGTCCTCGGTACGACTGGTCCGCTTCCCGACCTTCCAGCCCCGGCGCCATGCTCGGGTATAGCCGGCTGCCTCGGCGGCCGTGTGGGTCTCTGGCCGTTCCTGTCTACAGGAAGACGGGTTAGCCGGCCTTTGGGCATCGACGTTGGCTGCCCCGCAGGAGGTGCACTCCCAGCCGGAGTTCCCGCACCCCGTCCCCCTGAGCCTCTGGTCCCTGATCCGGAGCCCCTAGTCCCAGGCCCAGAGGTGCCAGTGCCTGTACCCCTTCTCTCCGAGCCCCCGCCGACTGATCCCTCCGGGTAAATGCTTCCGAAACTCTCCCAACCAACATCGACACTGGGATCGACGGTTCCACCGTCTGCGCCGGGGATGCCGGCTTCGATCTCCGGTTCAAGGCCAATTCCAGTGTCCCCTCTCCCCACAGGCCTCTCTGCACCTCCGGTCCCCCCAGTTTCCCCCGTAGGTCCCCTTGTGCCAGAGGTTCCACTTCTTCCAGTCCCTCCTGCACCTCCCCTGCTGTCTGTCCCACCACTGCCACCATTACCGCCTGTCCCACGGCTGCCATCAGTCTCGTCGCCCCTCCCTGTGTCACCCGAAGTACCGGTCCTGCCGGTGTCGCTGTTTCCAGTAGTTCCTGTCCCACCCTGCCTGTTCTTGCCTCCTCGCTCCTCCGAGCTTCTGCTAGCCTCATCTCCAGTGACGGTCACCTGCTCTTCAGTAGCAGACAGTTTGACGGGATCAGGAAGGAGGGCCTTATTAGGTCGAACCCAACCAGGTCCAGCAGCTGGAAAATGTGGCCCGTCAGCTGGACCCGTGGGCGCCGATTCTGCAGGCGGGATACCATGGGAAGGATCCCCGTTTCCTCTTCCCCCACCTGGGTTCCCATTTGGGTTTGATGGGTTACCACCTGAAGGATTGCCATTTCCTCCGCCTGGGTTCGTATTTGGGTTTGACGGTCTACCGTTGGAGGGATTTCCATTTCCTCCGCCTGGGTTCCCATTTGGGTTTGATGGGTTACCACCTGAAGGATTTCCATTTCCTCTGCCTGGGTTTGACGGTCTACCGTTGGAGGGATTTTCATTTCCCCCACCTGGGTTCGCATTTGGGTTTGATGGTGTACCGTTGGAGGGATTTTCATTTCCCCCACCTGGGTTCGCATTTGGGTTTGACGGTCTAGTGTTGGGGGTATTTCCATTTCCTCCGCCTGGGTTCTCATTTGGGTTTAACGGTCTGCCGTTGGAGGGATTTCCATTTCCTCCTCCTGGGTTCTCATTTGGGTTTAACGGTCTACCGTTGGAGGGATTTCCATTTCCTCCTCCTGGGTTCTCATTTGGGTTTAACGGCCTACCGTTGGGGGGATATACATTTCCTCCGCCTGGGTTCCCATTTGGGCTTGATGGGTTACCGCCTGAAGGATTTCCATTTCCTCTGCCTGGGTTGGATGGTCTACCGTTAGAGGGATTTCCATTTCCTCCTCCTGGGTTTCCATTTGGGTTTAACGGTTCACCGTTGGGGGGATTTCCATTTCCTCCGCCTGGGTTCCCATTTGGGTTTGATGGGTTACCGCCTGAAGGATTTCCATTTCCTCTGCCTGGGTTTGTTGGTCTACCGTTGGAGGGATTTCCATTTTCTCCTCCTGGGTTCCCATTCGGGTTTGATGGGTTACCGCCTGAAGGATTTCCATTTCCTCTGCCTGGGTTTGTTGGTCTACCGTTAGAGGGATTTCCATTTTCTCCTCCTGGGTTCCCATTTGGGTTTAAAGGTGTACTGTGGGGGGGATTTCCATTTCCTCCTCCTGGGTTCCCATTTGGGTTTAACGGTCTACCGTTGGGGGGATATTTATTTCCTGCACCTGGGTTCGCATTTGGGTTTGACGGTCTACCGTTGGAAGGATATCCATTTCCCCCGCCTGGATTCGCATTTGGGTTTGACGGTCTACCGTCGGAGGGATGTCCATTTCCCCCGCCTGGATTCGCATTTGGGTTGAATGGGCTACCGGCAGGCGTGTTGCCGTTTTCCGCTCCTCCACCCGGGTTCGCACTTCGATTCGTCGTGCCACTCAAACTAGGATTCCTACCCGGAGGTCCTGCCTTGGGAGTGCTGATGTCGGTTTCCGTGGTCGTGATATGTGTCCTTCGACCATTTGTTCCTCTCCCAGTTGGGACATCGGATGATGGCCTGCGCGTGACACTTGACCACACCGTTGTCAACCCCGCTGCTATTGTCACCGTCGCACCACCAGTGTCAATAGTGGGAGAGTTTGCTACAGCACCCTCAATGAAGACGCTTTTGTCCGAATCAATAGATAAGTAAGGAAAACCAAATTTCGAATTCAGTAAACTCCCTGTCGTTGGTAATTCAGTACTTTTCACTTCTCCAGCGCTGCCACTCATTGGAACTGTAATGTCGAAAAGACGATTAAATTCGTATAAATATGCTTGAGATCTCCTTCGTCCTTCGGTATTGAATATAAAATATAAAAAGTAAAACAGAAAAAGCCTCATTTATAGCAACGATTCGCAGAATAAAAATTTGGAGGACACATTCCTTAGGAGCTGCAGCATTAGTTTCGAACGAAAATGGTCTGCTGAATGATCATAAAAAGATTACTCCTCACTGTTTGTTTGAAACGTGCATCGTCACGAAACTTCGGATGATTATTCCAAAACCAATACTGTCATTGGCATTTTTCTATACATGCATAGCATCATGAAACCAGTGTTAAGTACACGTCGAATGCTGCAGTTGTTCAAGGGAAAGCCTTTTTTTTTCTAAACCAGGAAGCGAAACAGACAGCTTCATGATTCCAAGTTAATTTGCTTTTTAATGTTAAGAAAGCGAATTATCTAAAAGTAGAAATCTCATTTATAGAAACGACCTAAAACATTTTGAAAATAAGCGTGGGCCACTATTCCTGTACATTGAAAAAGAACCTCCTCCTAAATGAACTTTCTAAAGTACTCTTCGGGATAAAAAAAGAACGAGCTCAAAAACTGAATTGTTTTTGCAAATACTCCTTGTTTTGAACGTCTGCATGCTAAGGGAATTTTTCCCTTTTATAATATGGCCTATGGGCATGCCTTCACTGACCAACCGATGAGATGTGATGTTAAAACAAGTTTACCCTTTATACACTTATTTACTTACCAGTCGTTAAACTGAATATAAGCAACCACTCCATACCCCGTCCGGCAGCCATCTTTGCTTCAAGTTGTCTAGTCTTTCGCAAGAAAAAAATAATCCAGACAAAGTCCCCAATACACCTAACCGAACGATCTCTCGAAAAAAAGCCTGATTTATGTCAAGGCGTAAAGAGTGGAAAAGCTCACAGGGCTTTTCACTAGTTTCCGCTTCGGTGTTGTCTAAGAGCGTGTGACGGCCTGATCATGCGCCGTGAATCACCGCGCTCTCCTCCGGGGTCAAGGGATAACAAGTCTCCTCACCGTCAAGCATGTGTTTGACCTCCAGCTGGTTTTCTTTGCGGAATCTTTACATCTATTATTACACATATTGAGGGAAACCTCGGTTAAATCCTCCAATTAACAACCACTTAGCTGTTGACTTGTCCGCTGGGACCAGCGCCTTAACGTACACCATGTACATAGTCTCTTGCTACTCAGACTGATTCTTGTACCGATAACAAAGAAATTATTGTGGTACATTAGCATTTCATTTTATTTTTGTTGTTGCAATTGCAAATGTACATAACCCTTGCTTTCAAAAGTTTGACCTAATGAAAGACATGCCTGCCCGTAATAAAAACAAAACAAAACAAAACAGAATGGCATTAATTAAGGAATAGGTCCAACATGGCCATTAAAACAAATCTTTTCCAGAAATGGGGCATTTGTGTCTATTCAGAAATACTCTTTTGAAGTTGCCTGATGAGGACAGGAATTCAATAATTGCCGCTTGCATGGTGGATGTGCGATGATAACACCTATCTGTGGTTTCATTTAACATACCTTTTCTTGAAATAATGAAACAAGCCAGTAGCAAGTTGCTATATCACATGAAAAGTGATTTGAGAGACTTTCAGGCAAACCTGTGTTTCTACTTCTGAAATTTTTTAATCATGGCTTTCTGGCAAAAACAAACAAAAAAACAAAGAAAAAAACAAACAAAAACTAGACTAAAATGACAAAAAATTGATCGAAATTATTCAAGCCAAGTAAAGGTGATTTCTGAACCAGATGAAAACTTCAATGACTATTAAAAAAAATTAATGGTCCCATTTCGTCCTAATCCTCTTTGACCTCTTAAAGTGCAGCTGATAACATCGATGATCCGAGAGAATTGGTCATAAATCAGAAGTACTCAGATCTCAATTTATATCGTATTTAGCTGTAGGGTGGACCAAAGCTAATGATTACAACGCAGGCGTGTGTGTCATACACATTCTTGTGACTGCCACTTGTGGCACATTATAACGTCATTAAGAACCTGTCCCTCCCTGAACTGGGTCATTGATTGCCTTCAGTCTTTGCATGATCTGCCGGCCTTGGAAAGCGGGGTTTTGGAACTTTGTTTAACCCTTGCTCTCTGTGCGTAACGTATGAGCTGTGATTTCACAGGGGATACTTTGCAAAGAACAAGACTTTCCCCAAGAGGCCCACTTCTCCAAACGTTTCAGCACCCTTAGTCACAAAACCGGACGCCGAGGCTATTTATATCCACCTTAAAGGCATCGCATAAGCAGAATGGGTGCCTCAGCAGACTGAATGCGAGATAGATCAAGAAGCATCCCGTGAAAAATGCGAGGAAATTAGTCAAATCCTGCAGTGTCTAGATATAGAAATTGCCCTATTGCCTCGTGCTTTATTGGACGTGTGTTATTTAATGCATTTATTGGGTTTCTACGCACTCTGCCTTTTTTGCTCCTAGACTGATAAGGGCATGATTAGTGATATCGTAATTCGAGAGGAAACACCACCAGAAGAGCCCTCATACGCAGTCGTGGCCAGTGACGTCGAAACTACTTTAAATTTTAAAAGCGATCTGTGAGCATCCCGACTAAATTCTGCCTTTTCCCATCCCCAAACCCAGTGTGGCATAGAAGGGATACCAGGTTGATGTTCTGGTCTCCATGTTTGCCATTCCTTTTTGATGAAAAATGGAAGTGAGTGGGGACTTGCATCAGGCCCACCAAACCCTACGTCATCACATGAAATCTGGCACTTTTGTGAAGACGACTGTGGCACTTCCGTCGAATCGTCCAGTTGTCAAATTATTATAACATTCGCATGGTTTCACATCAAAATGTTACGTGAAATATTAAATAGACCATTATTATCATACCACAAAAAGCGTTGGAGTCATTAATTCACGGACCAGTTTTCGTAAAGTTCCTCGTTGGTCCTAGTACCTTCTTAGCAATCCACCAATGTTGCAAGTGCTAAGAACTATCACAGGTAATGATCGAGACTATTTTCGGGTCTTTGAAACAAGCAGTCACCAATAGGACAATTCTTGATATAATTTTTCTTTCGAAAGCAACACCACATAATCTGCGTATAAGTCGCCATAATACACCAAAAATAATACCAAAAAATGAGTAACAGAATTGCTTTTGTGCCTTGTGCTACGTTTTAGAAGGGGGTGTGTGATGTTTGGCTGAACCTGAAATTTTAACAAAAGCTTGGAAATCGAAAAGCAGGGAAGAGAGGGGTACACAAAAAGCTTCTTTGGTAATAAGCAATGGTTACAGAGACTCAAGATATTATGAACCATACGCTATGAAGTTAGCTTTATGACAGTACTAATCGCATGCGCGCGTCCACTTCAGTTTGCTTGTTTGCAAAAAATGACCCATTCAACAGTAAAGGTAAGCCCTGTATATGATTGCAATTTCAGCAACTTCTTCCCAACTAGATGGCCTGTATACGAAGCAGTACACAAAACGAGCAAACGGAAGCTAGCAACGAACTTGCACCAAAGAAAACTCTCAATGATGACTGGAAGACCACAAGCTCGTCAACATCCCATCTGTAAATGCGTCCACTTGTAATAGTATCGTAGGCTAGAATTCAAGTTTACGGGAACCATTTAATATGATTTGTATAACTTCAATAGGCCTACAGGGAACATAGCTTTGTATACGTGTTGTGATGACTTTCCACCTCTTTTTAGCAGAGGGAGTGAGAAATATCAGCATTTAGGATTTTATGCTAATGAAGATTTCCATGACAAGTCATGACAAAGAGTGGTGTCATTCAAGGTTTGTGTACAAACACATTAAAAAAACATTTTCTTGGTGTTCACCTTAAAGAGCTTGTCTGGACAAACATAGCGACCAATATTTCTTCCAAGGACTGACCTTTGTACTGTTCTTATGCTCACCACCCTCTTTTCACTTGAAATTAAAAAGAGTATTAAGGTCTTGTTTATATTGCTGCAACACATATAGTAATAAACATGAAAAACGAGTTCAACTGAATACCGACTGCATGTTTCTTTCAAACTATGGCAATCAGGGTCGCGATAGCCGATTGTAGTTATAAATATGCAACACCGTTAGCGTAATTTTTACCTTCATTTAACTCTTAACATTACCATTTCGTGCCCAAGCCAGTAAAGTCTCCATTATTTCCCCTTACTCGATCTTTTACCGTATTCCAAACCCAATATCTACCCTGACCTTAAACCATTCCTATACAGTATCGATCGACATCGTAGTACTTCAATACCCTTTAATATTGTGTTGTGGATTCCGAACCATGCATAAGCCTATGTCGTTCTATCTATTTAGGTATTGCAAAAATAGCCGATCCACAATACTCTGAAAAATATATACCAGGGTTGCTGACTCCAGTCATGTGACGTGGACTCGAGTTGGACTTGAGTCGCTATTTTTGTGACTTGTGACTTGACTTGTAAATACCAACTTTGACTTGTGACTTGACTTGGACAAGCAAAAAATGACTTGTTACCAACCCAAGTCAGACGCTATACTCGACCGGCCCCATATATTTTTATAACTCGTAACTCCCTAAGTTGACGCGTTGTTCTTTTTGCCGATTACAGCTGGACAAAATAATGTGCAGATTGACTTGTACTAGGACAAAGAGACTTTTGACTTGACTTGTGTTTAGACCAAATGACTTGTGATTTGACTTGTGTTTAGACCAATTGACTTGTGACTTGACTTGGACTTGCATATAATTCATTGTGACTTGACGAACTTAAAAATATGAATCTCGTACATCTGCTTAATCCCGGCTGTTTGGTGGACAATTTCGCTATTTTGTCTCAGGGCTGCTGATCACTTGGAATCAAGCTATGATCATCAACACCACAGATACCAGACATAAATGGCAGGAGCTTCCCAATAAACGTTACGGGACGAATACGAACGAACACGTGAATATTAAAGTACCTCTGACAGCACGTCATGTGGGCCTGCGTTTATGGGCAAGGAGTTTTCAGTAACAAATATTTCCGAGACGTCAGAGGCACCAGAATGACATGTGGATGAACTCCTTCGGTGCTCCTTGAGGTAAGACGTGTCCTAGTTTTACTCACAACAATTAGTCTTGGATGATTTCCTTGTTGACCGATCCCCGGTGACAGAGGTTTGTGGTCAGCTTGTCGGAGGCGTGACACATCGTCACAAGTTTGTGGCTAGTACTTTGGGTCTTTGAGGTGGAGGGGAGAAGGTACCGAGTGATGACAGTCACATGTTTGTTCATGTCCCGTCAGAAAATTGGATTATTTTTTATAAGAAAAAAGACTGCATACATGAGGATTTAGATTTGACAAAAAACAATTACCTATCATATCTTGTATACTAAAATATACTGAGTCTGCTGAGCTAACATTTTCAAAGAAATGCATGTACCGCGCTCTACATACGATGAAAAATTACAGACAGTTCTATGATGCATGAGCTTTTGCTTCCCCCCTACCTTTTCTTTCGAAGAATGACCCCTGCCATCGTTTTGAAAGTATTTTTTCGGACCGATGAGTGATCATTATATCAGTCAAACTTCTAAAGAAGTGAGATTTATGCGTTACAAACGTGAGGGAATCATAGAAGAAAATACTGTATATCCCGCTGTGTTTTCACGTAGTCACTACAGAGGGCGCAATCGTTTTACGAACAGTAAGCAATCTGCACAAAGAAAGATAATGTTAAGGATTGACTACTAAATAAGAATCAGAAGAGCATTCACGTACTTTTTAGACGAGGGAAATGTTGTCATATGCTGTTTGACACAATAAATGTTGTTTGGGTAATAAAAGAGAACAGGCGGAAATGGTTTGTGCCTTTAATTTCGTCGTGTCTTTCATCCATGAGTGGAAATCAGCAAATCTGAATTTCCGCAAGCATGTCCAGTTATTTGTCAGTTCATGAAAAAATGGCGAATATAAAAACCGTAAAAATTGGTCAAACATCTTTGCAAGAACACCTTTATAGACATCAACACGTGTCAGGCGACTAATGCGCTCAACGTCTCGCTCAAAGTATAGTTCAATGTCTTGACCCTTGACTGTAGTCTGCTTCATAAATCGCGTCCCATGGTGGCGCTAATCAACTTTGGTATTGTAGAGAAGGAAACCAGACAGTTTGCTGACGTGGAAGACAGTCACACCCCCCGGAGGATGATCGGATGTTCTTGACTGTGTGTTCTTCTGTCCATGTATAGGAGGCAACAGAACCAATGAACTTAAAGGTAAATTCAGTAGGTCATTGCCGATGACGGAAGGAAAAATCGTCTTCCCAATCTCCTCTCGATGGTTTTTTTGCTCCGATGTCATTCAACCCCCGATCAGTCTCACCAAGGTTATAACGAACAAGAAATAATATTAAACCTATCGTGAGAGAGATTTGCTTGTATTGATTCAGGACTCATCGGTGCAATGAAGTTTACAATACAAAGTCTCCGGAGAGGACATAAAGCATGCAAGGATCTATGCTTAAATGTAAACAAACCAGCTTCTGTATCGCCACCTATAGAATCAGATGATTTCCAGTATCCCCATGTTCAAATTTCTTACACTACTGAAGCCACGTCTTTCTTGAGAAGATGAGGGGGGGTATGGGACCGTTTCCAAAACAGCAGACACCATTGTTGTATGCATTAGTTTGGCTTTTGTATTTCAACGTACATACAAGTCAGAGTCTGGAGAAAAAAAGGTCAGACGTGACACATCCCACTGGCAGGTCTAAAACAGGGGAAGGAAAAACAACGTCTGGAACCAAACCTCACCTAAATTGACAGCTAAAACCTCCACATCATTCTAAGGTAGACCCCTCCCTACTCTCAGCGGGAAAGATTCCATGGTCCTAAGTTGTTATTCTGCTTCGCTTACTTCAGTTACTTCCGTTCACGGGTGTCACTATTTTCCCCTTTCCTTTCATTTTTATTCTCCGTTCTTAGTTTTCCTTACAGGCCGTGATTTCGCCGACAAAACTAACCAATGGGGGGGGGTGACACCCCCGACACCCCCATCTAACGACACCCATGCTTCCACGAGTGTTGGTAAATTTAAAATAATAACTGGACTGTATTTCTGTCTCAATCTTCGTTTATTTTTCACACAACTGTTTGAGCCATGTCATCATGGCATGTTATTTAATATTTATTTCAGAACAAACACACAAGAAAGCAAGTGACGTTCCATTTCAAGGTACAAAACGTGTGTAGGATGGCTTTACAATACAAAAAATGACATTTTAAGGCCTGAAAGAAGTGTTCTGTTTTGTAATGAATGTTGCATGCAACTTTGTCACTATAATCCCCGTAGTGACAGCAATTAAAGATTCGACCTGATGACCAGCATCGGAGTATTCAATAGGTAGGTCTTCAAAATGCATATTATTGAATTTTCTACCAAGATGGTGCAGTTTTTATCAAGAACAGGTCTTATGAATCAATATTAAAACGTGCTGACACATTTTATTAGTACCTATTTGCGAACGTGCAGGCATACACGTAAAGTGGAAAAACTTAAGTCAGCGTTTTGGATAAAACAAACTGTTTCAATTGGAACTTTTTCAGGAAATAAATTATAGCAAATACTCATTTAAAAACTCCGATAATCAGGTTTTAATGCTTAATATTGGTTTATAGGATAAATTTATCAAAAAGTTTCAAATTTTCCACGTCACTCTCCATTCTTTGTATAAGATTTTTTGTTAATAATCAGAGAGTCTGTTTCTATGTTCTAAATAGAGCTTAGATATCCGGAATGTCTTCTCTTTTTAACAAAACAAGCAGCAGCCACTGCAGCAATGGCTAGGACCACGATACCGAATACTATGCCTACTGCCGCACCGGCTGTCATGCCCTTAGAGTCCGACTCGTCTCCATTGCCAGCACCAAAGCCAGGTGCAAGGTTCTCGGGGCCGCCGGCCAGCCCGGGCATGTCCGGAGTTTCGAAGGCCAGACCGTAGCCGCCGTTAGGCAGCCGCGGGCCCGTGCTACCGCCGAGCACTACTGGCCCGTCCCCGAAGTAGTCCGGGTTGATCCGTTCGGCCGAACCTTGCACCCGGCCTGTGCCGGGCCCTGGATAACCCTCGGCGATCTTTATGCCGGCCTCTCCTTCGTCGCCCTGCTGCAGTACCTGCTGGTTGGTATCGATTTCAAGGTCGTACAAAACATTGGTCCAAAGGTCTCCTGTAAGGGAAATCAAAACCCAGGCGTGATGACGTTCTTTTTTCAAACTTGTGTGATGGATTGAGTATGCAAAGAATTTTTAAAATTCACGATGTGTTATGTGTGCATCAGAAGAAATTGTGAAAAATTGGCATTGTTATTGCTGACGTCGTGAAAGTCAATTTCTGCATTTTCAACTCTATTAGAGGGTGAATACATGCCTTTATGTTTGCAAAACCCCTTTGTGGTGTAGATCTATCATTGTCATGTACTCAGACGAATGAGCTGGACACCAGACATTGTGTAAAATTCTGGAGGACACATAATTCGTTCATCGAATGTTGTGTCAAATTCAAGTTACGTTCTTGGTAAATGCAAATTCTGGAATCGAAGTATGTCTGTCTCTTTTTTGATCATTGTGTGGCTAGTAATATCATTTTCTTGCATAAACACTGCATAAAGAATAGCAATAGCAAAGCAACAACAAAAAGAAAATAATACAAATAATGACCTGATGATACGAACAGCCAAAACAAAGAGCATTTAAGTGGAAACAAAAAAAGGTTTGGCGGTGGCGGCGGTACAGCTTCGGCAGAAGGCTCGTTTTGTTCAGGGGTTAAAACGCACAATACCCGACGGATTGAAACTACCACAATCTGTCCATCAGATTTCACTTTTATTTGCTCAACTCCAACCTTCTTCACTGCTTCACAAAATCTACATTCCCGCTCAGTATCAAAAGACGCCTCCTTTCCTCAACTGTAGTGTCTATTTACAATTTGGCTCGATGGTAATTCTAGACCCGAGGCCCATTTCAAATGGGCCTCCTTGACAATTGCTTAAGGGCATAGGAGTAAGAAACGGATGTAAGTTTTGTCAAACACATTTACAGACAAAGTTAATAAAATTATAATATTATTTAGTTATAATGATTATATCCAGTGCCGTTTTCAGCATCGTTTGTGGGTATAGATGAGTGCGGATATACAAACTTGAATAATACGGTCAAATATAATCGACTGTTAAATTGCCTTTGGTCTAGCCATTGGCCCGTTCATTTATAGTCACTTGGCTAAAATAATTTCGATGGGGATGACCAACACAATCGCAGAAACCTCTGCTGCCTGAACGATAATAAAAAAAAAGATGTAATTCGTTTACTTAAATTTATCCAGCCCCAAATAGGTGTTGAGCTTTACTCAGTTCAGAGGGGATAACACCTCATCGACTTTAAACCGAGTACATGTTTTTAAATTACACTGTATTTATTACAGTATTGGGGGTGTGGTTATGTTTGTGTTCGCTTCAACCGGTGACAATGTGTTAGTAAATGTTCAGCGTACTCTGAGCTTAGGGACATGGTTTTAATTGCACAAAGTTCAAGGTTTACACGGAACCGATGACAACTCGAGACTGGCGCCTCTGTCTCACTAGGAAGACGGCCACCAGGGCGAAGATACCGATGACGATCAGCACCGCTACCACCACTCCCACGACCGTGCTGGCCGGGGCGGCAGCAGAGATGACCTCGTTGGCGTCTGACTTCTTCTGCATTTCGTTGGCGTTGAAGTTGCCGCCAGCGATGAGCCCAGGTAACAGATCTGAAGCACCGCCGCCACCGCCGTAAACTTTCTCACCTGAACTCCTGCCGGCTCCCGGCAGGGGCTGCGCTCCCGCCCCACCATTGGCGTTGCCGTTCAGTACGCTGTGGAAGACGTCGGCGTCGCCGAAACCGGCCAGCTCGCCAGAGTTGCCGGTCTGGGCGTTGGGGTTAGCGTTGGCGTAGGGGTTGCCGTTCCCCACTTGGGGGTCACCCACGGGGATGGGGTTGTGCTGTGGTGGGCTAGTGCTCGACCGACCAGGCATGTTGCCGCGGTTGCCCATGGCGGCATTGGCGGGGGGTGCTGCCCATGGTGGGGGTGTCTTGGAACCCGTACCAGCCCCAAAATCATTGAAGAAGGGGTCCCCGTTTTGAGCAGGAGCCATCTGGCCATGCATTTGGCCATGCATCTGGCCATGCATTTGGCCATGCATTCGGCCATGCATTTGGGCAGTAACCAGCCCTGGAGACAAAACAGAAGAGGACTATCGATAACCAAAATTCCAAAAAACTTTAACCCTCACCTCAAATTTCAGCGAGAGTCTAGTTTAGTTCGAATTTCAACAAATTAAACTTTCAACATAGAAATCGTATTTCTGATTTGTAAAAGCAAATTATATTCCCCTTAAAAGAGAAATCAGCAAAATGTCTCTGGCACTTATCCGTTTGAGGGTGACTGAGCAAGAAACCAATTTTAAAAAATAGAAAAGAAAATCAGGACTGAAATGCTGGTAGGTTTGAAGGAAATTAGATCTTAAAATTGAAGTACATAGATGTATTTCCTTTATTATTAGAGTCAGTTTTTAAAAAATTGAGCCCACACTTTTAAATAGTCATGTTCCCTTCACTCTTTTGACAATTAACTATATAGACAAGATTCATGTGGGACAATAACGGAAAACTAAATTGAAACATAAACGTAAAAATAAAATTTGCGGATGAAAAGTTTTTTAGCCTGTCGGGGAAAGGAGCAAACAAGAAATGAGTCATCATGCCCATTTCCTCCTATCATTAATTTTGTTCATTGTGTACCACCTTCTATAAACAAGTCAATTTACCTCCTGTTTCGACCGTCTGGTGTGCATTAGTGTCTCAAAAATGGAACACTTGTAAAACAACAGTTCTCGAGAGCTTTAAAAATTCTTGCGTTATTATCCAAGTATTTCATCTTTTAAAAGCCATACTTCCTATTATTTAAACTCAGGTTTCATGCGTTACAAGCTTTGCAGCATTCAGAAATAGGACTTACTTTTTAACTTACTGAAGAGAACGTTTGGATCTTAATTGAAAGACTGAGGAAAAATACGTCATTATAAACCTCAGCTACCAACAATGCGATTTCCGGTGTGGTAAGTACACAAATACAAATATTCATTGGGTGGTGCTGTTTTCAGAGCTCAGAGATCATTCCATCCAAACGTGTAATGACGGTGATACTCACCTAGAAAGGGAAGTAAAGCGAACAGAAATCTCATGACGATCGCTCGATGCAACTTCAGGAGGAACAAGCGTGGCTGAACTGGTAGTTTTGCAGACACAGAGGCTTTGACTCCCTCTCTACTTTTACGGCAACCTTCCGAGTGACTGTTAAGTTGGCTGGGTTCGACCCCTTATAGCGGCAAACCTTCGGTGGGGGGGACTGGCTCATCCAGAGGCCCCGAAGGACAAGGAGCACTGTGTGATTAGGCTAATTCGATCAGGATGCGTAGCACGGTGACTCGCCGTTTATATCCCTCCGCTCTTATTACAGGTCTGGTTTCTTGAGGTCCCAAGTGTCACGAGACCGCGGCGAACCCACGCACGCATTGACGCAAGTAGATAGGGGGACTCATCCAAGCGTCGGAAGTGGTCACTAAAACTTTCCACAGACCCAGGATAAATATTAAAGCGGGCACATCAAGATCAAAGCGAAATTGGAACATCAGAGTTTAAATGCTGAGGGATAAATGAATTAATGATCGACCCAAGACTTGATACTTACCAACATGACACACATGTATTTGTGAATTTCACAATAAAGACCGCGTTCATTTATAATAATTAGCATCAAGACGGTATCACAACAACAATAATGATAATGATAATAGTGGATTTTGTGATAATAGTGGATATTTGTTTAGCGTTTTTGTTTATTTGTTTAATGGCCTACCATTAATGCTGATACTCATAGCGCTGAAAACTAAAAAAAAATGGAAATAATGAAAAGCAAAAGTACAATTTAGTATTAAGGGGCGAGAACAAGTAAGTTTTCAACTAGGATTTGACTGAATACTACAATTTATGCTGCAATTATTCTTAGTGTGCAATATTTATTGTTCTTGACGGGGATACCACAGATCTCTTCCTGTGCACCAGCTGGAAGAAAACGTTGCCAAAACAATTATAAAGACAAGTCCGTTTTAGTCCCAGTGACGTGTCTTGTGAAATATCTGGTTTCTATTCAATTCTATTAAAGAATAATTGATTGACACACGTCCTTTTTGGACATTCTTGAACAACCGTGAGCAGAAATAAAATATTCTACAAATTTCAAGCATGCTTTTCATTATCGGAGTTTTGCAAGATAAATGTTTGCTTTTGAAATCGACAATATTTCCTTTTACTAAACCACTTCATTTGGTTTTGAAGATGGGTTTGAAAATTTAAATTTTCAAAAGATTTTTAATTCGAACAGCAAGTGCCATCGAATAGAAATGATCCACAACCTGCCTAGTTCTTAGGTTGTTTTTTGTTTCATCTTCAAAAGAAATGGTTTCACCACTTGCCAATAATTTTCATATATGGGAGGCAAAGGCTTGAAAACTGAACCCTCGTCCCAAAAAATTTATTAATTAGGCCTATTACAACTCGTAAACCTTTTTATAGTGAGTTACAAAATGTCATGTATGACGCACTATTGGGAAGAGATTGTCTTAGCTTAGCTATCTAATCACAGGCGCTGAACAGGACTATTGACCTCCAAAACAACATCGGCAGGGAGTAAGTAGCTGATTCATGCACCCGGTCCTCATAACCATCCGACAGGTATCATAACATTAAGACCCTGACATATCTTTTAGGAAGACGTTCATCGCTTTAAGGACGTCCTCACTTGGGACGACGACAAAATTGTGATTATACAATCAGTACTCTGAAGTATGTTATTGCCAAGCTTTCGGTGAGTGGATACCTTCGTCAGGGCAAGCAGATTCAGTTCCCGACGAAGGTACCCAGTTACCGAAAGCTCTGCAATAAGGTGATTCAGAGCACTCATTGTATAATTATATTTTTGTCAACATTCTTATAACGGTGCTACGCAGCCCTTTCATATTTTTCTCGGGACGAACGTGGAGTTAATCAGGCGTCTACCTCGGGAAGGGGAATAAGTCCTTGTCAGTCCCTCTTCCGGTACCTCCCCGTAGAGGGTCTATGTCGGTTCCCCAACCCTCTACAATACGGGCGATTCACAATAGTGCGCCACCAAGAGTTTGCAACACGTTGGCCAATCATAACGTGCGAAATCTGTCAACCCTTTCCAAACGCGCATTAGGTCAACAAATTTCGCACATTGTGATTGGCCAACGCTTTCACAAAAATATTCACGGAAATATCCTCTTGAAGTGATTAAAACTTTGTAGTAAGTAGAATGCATCAGAGATGAATTGGTCTGTGGAAAAAGGTGTAGCGATGTTTTTGTCAAATTTCAAATTCTAACAATAAGCATGCCTTGGTGAGTTTTAACGTTTTTTCCTGAATTATAAAAATTGGCAAATATCACGCAAGGTCTAAGCTTTAAAAATCTGTTTCTAATCGCTAAATGGGCGCATGAATTATTGATAATCGATTTTATGAAACAAAAAGCATACCGAATATGCCTCAAACAGAAAAATTATAACACTAACTGGCTTGAAGTTGGTTGGCCTGTTATATGGGGCCAAAAACGAATGCTTGTGAAAAAGCTGACAGCAATTTTACAAAGTCCAGGGCTAGAGATGACCTGTTTCGGTACTAGTATAATTTTCGAAACTATTTTGCTGCTGAAGGACTGCTGAAAGACTTCATCGAAAGACTCTCCAGACGTTGTTAATGTCATGACCAACATTGGCCAGGACGTTGAGCAATATTTTCAAAGATGTAGATGATTTGGCAGGGACAAGGGATATCAAAGACATCCAACCGTTTTGAAAAGTCGTTGTCAAAGGACATTATGATGAAACAAATTACATGTACAATGTAGCAAAATCAAAATGAAGTTGGAAAAAATACTCATTCCCCTAAGTATTGACTCCTTCATGGAAGGTGGGGTGGTCAACCTTTCCAGTCCTCTTTGTCACGTTGCCTTAAGCCACAATTTCCCCCTTATGATATCCCAATTACAAAGGGGTAACTTGCAGTGGGTCATTCTGTAGTTAGCCTTCATTCAAGGCTAAACTGCATGTATGAGGTGCCTTCTACGAATCATTGGTCACAAAACTTTTTCGTCTTAAATACGGCTTCTTGAGGTAAAGTTTGTAAGGAATTTGATTTCAGGAAAGGCAAATCTGGAAACGATTCCATGGGTGCGGTGGTTCTTTTTTATTCCCGAAAATATGTTTCAATACCAACACGAAAAGGTATCATTTTGCCATTAAAATTGGGTTGCTCGTAAAATTAGATGTTCAATCACGAAATTCATTTCGTGGACAAACACAGCTGTCCCAGCTGTTTATCATGAGGGCACACGCAGGGTCACTTTGTAAGGGGAACATTGGATGTTGGTCGCACATGTACTGTATATATGCTGTAAATATACATTGCACAAAATGTGGTGTTGATATCAACACTTTTTGGTGTTATCAGATGATCACACCATAGGGTGTAACTCGAACACCGCTGGTGTTACTTTCCATACCTACAAGTGTTTCAAAGCACTGGAAGGTGATAAAAATAACACCACATTACTCCAAGATTTTTAACAATAGTGCAAAGTGTTCGTGTAGTCCTCTGATAACACCTGGGGTGTTAAATTTAACACCCCAGGTTTTGCAGTGTACTGTGAGGCTAGACGTTCCACAAGGAGCAACATTCCAACACTTAACAGCCCAATCAGACAATTAGCTAAACATGGTATGACATCAATACACCCGCGGACAAGGGCCAAAAGTACCTAGATAAGTTGATTTGTCACCCCCGTCCCTCTGTATCACCGCACCTGTAAAGCAGGAACATTTTGACGTTACCAATTTGGGTAATGTTATATATGTTTTCATCAGGAAACTGTAGATGGAAACCTTAACCAGGCATGTTCAAGACTTACATCACGCCTATTCTGCCTAAGAGTTGCATATGTATGGTAACGATCATGTCTTCATTCGAAAGTTAATGTACCATGGCGTGATGAGAATCGAAAGTCTTGAGTTGCCCTCGATATCCTCCAACGCACCACTGGAGATTTTACCTGTGCGGTGTTTAAGGGGATCCGTTCGATTGTCAAGAAGTTTCTTTGGTTACAAGAGGCGATGGTCCAACCACGCAAATTTTACTTCGTCAGGGGCTACTAGTCTGAACATAACATAAGGTTTGTAAATTCGAGCAATATGATAGACTGAAGATTCAATAGTCTATACAGATTCGATAATCCGAGGTTTTATTTTGCCGGAGGTTCAATATTCCCAAATTTAGAATAAGTCAATACAACCTTGGGTTCATGGCTTAGTAGTCGGAGCCTTATTTCCCTTTACACGTTTACATATACATTTTATTACCGAATCATTGAACCTTACAATCGATACGGACTGTCAAGCTCCGGATCATTTAATGTTTCCAATTAATCCTTTGGACTATATAATTATTGAACCTTCTGATTATTAGACGTTCTTGGTATTTTTCAACAAGACTTTATAAGCCCACCAGCCTGAAGTCTGTGTACTCGGGGTCACTTGACCAAAATTCTCGATTGAGCGATTGTAAAGTTGTTAAATAGCATGAGGTATAGCAAATAAGTCTATAAAATAACATAGCCTTTTGAATTTGTTACAAAATAAACTGATCGTTTATTATTTCAATGCCAAGTCCATTTTCGCACGTTCATACAGCTCAATAGTTTCATCTGATTTACACACATCTTCAATTCGCACTTTATTCCAAAACGTTTCTGTCATAAAATATTTACAGTTTGGGTGACTTTTCCATCTAAGCGCACCCACTAATTGGGAGTCAATTACACTGGATCTTTAATACTGAAAAACACATCTTTTCCTACCTACACTATATAGCATACTTACCCTCAAAACATCTCTTTGCCTATTACAAGCTTCGAGTATTGTCAGGTTAATGCTGCAGTTCTTAGGTTACGGTCACTCTTCTTACTGATGGTATAATTCCCGTACTCTACAACGTACAGCAAGATGTGTGTAAGGTTTACAGTATCATCTGTACAGCTTTCATTAACAAAAAAAACTCCTCACTCTTGACCATGATTCGCAACTCAAAGTACTTTACAAAAAAAAAGGCCAACAAGAAAGTCAGTACAAAAGTGAATTACTCTTTTTATGTGGAACTATACAACTGTACATGATGTATTTCCAGCTTACAGAAGAGCATGCGCGGTAAATAATAGATGCTGTCTTCAAGAAAACTATATACAAATAGATCACCGAGTGTACCTGATACTAATTTCTGCGTTTGACATAATATCGACACAGGGAATGTTAAATAAGATGCAAAGCCTTCAGCAGTTGTAAACATCAACGTATGAATCTCTACATGTTCGAAATACCAATAAAATAACCGTAACATTCTGTTAGAGCCCTTGTTATGTTTCGGAACTTTAAATTGCATACTTTCTTTTCTGATTCGAGCAATTTTGCAACATGCAGTTTGACGTTTCTTTTAAGTGAACTACTCAATTGTAAATATCCATTATGATCAGATTACAGTCCTTATCCAAATGTGACTGTTTACCTTCATTATGGTCAAAGTTTTCATTCATGAGCCTTTAGATAAAACGACATACAAACAATTCTTTTACTGCAGGACGACATTAGTTGCAATAAATATACTCTTCAGTTGTTTTCATGCCAAATCTTCAGATCAAACGAAAAATTTGCAAAAGAAAATATGTCAGCGTAAAGTGAGAGATATCCATTTGACGGTGTGCAGGGCTGTGATGTAGCTTCACGGAAGCTAATTAACTGACCAGATTACACGGAGGTAATTGTTTAAAAGATCACGGTCTGGACTGAAAACACGAGGAAATGATCATTATTTACTCTCACGGACTGGGAGTGTGCATGGACCAAACGAAAGCTGCACTATTTAAGCAAAACCTTACAATACCCGCTCCCGTAACAGATAAATCTTAAAGAATATCTACATGTATAAACATTAAAACACACGTGTAACATTTCAAACGGCTAACTGAATAAAAACCAAAACTCAAGAGGCTATACCGAAGTACGTGGGGGATGTAAAACCCCATCTTCAACAGATGTCGTTACCCCTGGATGCCTCCCCAATTACAAATCATAAAACGAGCACAGCCAAAACAAACAATCAAACTAACAAAAAAGCAAGAGAAAAACCGATCACTTCCCTTGTTCATATGGCCGGCTCGACAATTAAGGTTGAGTTAAACTGTTCCATTATGTGCTTTTTAAAACATTGTAGATTAAAATAGATTGCCTGAATTTGCAGCTGATATCATGCAGCCCCAAGTGTGTTCATTAATGTACCCTGTTCTAAAATTGTGTGACGAAATCCAACAAGGATAGATGCGATGTGCTGGAGCCTGGGGTTGCAGCGGTAAGTCAGGTTCTCAGTAAAATGAAATTAAATAATTAAAAATACATAAAAAGAATAGTTAACAAAACCAGAGTGCTGCATTAAGAATAATCAATAAAGGCACTTATCCCAGCTCTCATTCTCCTGTCCAGAAATTCTTCTGGTAAAATAGTTGCTAATGTGCATCTCGATGATTTAGACCACGAAGTTTCTAAACAGCCCAGCTGCAGGTGACACTGAGAATTTGGGGTCGAGGATAATTGATACTTTGCCAAGTTTAACACCCTCTTTGGGAGGTAAACATTACGATGCAACTCAACGTTCTTATACAAAGAATTTCTAATCCCCGGTCTAGATTAGCATCTTTGAGGGATGTGAGGATGGGGCCAGCTTCCCTAGATACGGAGTCAAGACACTCATCTATAGAGTGCTAAAGGTGCGTGTACTTTAAAAACTCGCTTATACCGAGAGGGGCTCAAATGAGCATTTCATTTGGAGGTTTGGCATTACAATTAGCGAGGGCTTCGTGTCATTACCCCAAGGGGGTTCACTTTTTACCAGTTACAAAACCTGTGCAGCTGTAATGATTTAGATCTTAATTCTGCTAAATTGGATTTGGTATTACTTACAAGACCCTTCAGACCATACAGCACAGGAAAAAAACCCATATTTGTCACAGCAACTTAATTTACAGGGTGTCTAAATGGTAAGATTTCATTCGTGATCTTAACAGTATAGATTGTCAGACTGACGACGTAGAGCATTTTATCTTGTCAGTCTCACGATATGGTCAGCTAAAATCACAAAATAAAGCTGGACATTTTCGACACCTGTCAACCTTGTGAGCTTTGTTTATTTCTTGTGGGTGCACCCACAGAGTGATGTTGCGGCCAGCTCTCGTTCACAGAGAATACCACTGATAATGCAGTAGTGCATCAATTTGTTTTAGAAAGCATATTTGGACAACTCCGGTCGTGTTGTTGGCAATTGCCACTTGTGAAAGATATTTGTTAGATCAGAAGGCGTTTATGTCATGGGTGGAAATTCGTTGCACAATTGCCCAATGACATTTTGCCCTCTTTTCATGTTGAAAAAAATCGTTGCTTTAACTTAGGTGAAAAACATTAGTGCCTTTTTGATATACACAATTACACTGAGGGGCTCTTGTCTTCTTGACATAAGGCAGTGCAGAGGCACTCAAGATACCCTGGTTAGATGTTTAAAGTGAAAACACTGTGACACAGCAAAGTCACTAAGAGTTCAACTGCCAATAGAATCTGTAAACCCGACGCTGTACCCTGGCTACATGTTGGAGCTCTCCGTGTTAATAGAGTCATTGTACGAGCGGGTGTCCATCTCCTTCCAGGCCAGGGCGTCTTTGCTGTCCATGCTGAAGTGCTCGTACTTGCCGATGCGCGACTTTCGCCTCTGCCGCACCACGACAATGACGAGGAACGCCACAATGGCGATGAACAGCAGGCCGCCAAAAACCACGGCGATGATGTGGCCCGTGGAGGCCTGCTGGGATTGCTTGCTCTGGCCCGCCCCTTTCCTCCCATCCGTACCGGCTGGGTTCTTTTCGATGGGATCCTTGTGGAGAACACTGTTGTCCAAGCCCGTGGTGCTGCCGACGGACGTGCTAGGCCTGTCTGCGCCCTCCGTGGTCTGGGTGTCGCTGGTAGTCTCCAGCGCCTCAAGCTCCGTTGTTTCCACCAGCTCAATTCTGGGGCTTGTTGTGTCTGCGACCTCTTGGTCCTGTGTTGGCGTGTTGACCTCTTCCTCCCCCATGCCTGAAGGGCCTTCGTCCGGCCCTGTTTCCTCGTCAATGGGCGTAGTGAACTCACCATGGCTGCTCTGAGGGTACGATGACTCCAAGAAATCTGACACAAAATCACTCCATGAAGCAGAGGCGTGTTGAGGTTTAGGTGATGGAGATGTCGCGCTGGTAGTAAACGGGGTTGTAGGAGGCATTGTCGTAACGGCTGACAGAAATAAATTAGAAACTGCTCGGTTACTTTTTACCATACTTGTAACAGTGCTCCAAATTGAAAATATTCTTTAAAAATCATCAGCCATTGCAACTCTAATTGACAAAAATACCCAGTAATGTGTATCAAAATATTCTCATCTGACACTGGCAATCTCTGATATCTTTTCAAGAAAAAGTACTATTACATTTCATATTTTTATTTTCCACTGTTTTTATGACCACCCTCCCTCCCCCATAAAAAACTTCCTCATATTTGTCTTTGTAATCAACTTTAGAATTTAAAACAGACATTTAAACTCTTTCATAAAATCTTCACAGGCCTCGATTCCGTTTTAAGCATGCTGAAAAGGTCTCTTGCTGACTTCTAAATAACCTTTTCCTCTGTCTCTATGTTCGGAGGTCATGTAGGGGGGGGTAAAAATACTGATGACGCATACGAAAAGGAAGCCTACACTACCCCTCAAACCGGCCCTGGGTGTTACTTGAAAATGATCAGCTTAATCGTGTACAAAAATAACCCTCCCCCTTCCCTACTGATTGGCCGGAAACCGGGACCTCTTCGTGCACCATGAGTCACACGGAAGCGCCCGGACTGAAAATAACCGTGACTCGGCTTAGCCTGTACCGGGCACGGCCTGGCACTGCTCCGGGAGGCGGGACTATTTATAAACCGGGGAACGAGGGCTTGGGGACTCGGCGAGCTACGGCATGATCTTCTCAAATGGCCCCTTAGCTAATTGGATGGATTGTCACTCTGTTACCGAGTTTAGCTACCGATTAAAGAGGGATCTGTAACTCGTTTATTTCTGGTTGTGTAAATGGCGCGATTCCAACGGAAAGCGGTCAGGGTAAAGCAAGGCCATCAAATATCGTTTATTATCCGAGGTACGTAAGGCGTCGTGCTTTTTCTTGAATTATGGAAACTTTGTCCAACGATTTCAAATTTCCAAGTCTGAGACCAATGTTTACGGGTCGGCCGCTCGAACGTCGTGAACAAAGAACCAGTTATTGCTGGTAGTCAGTAGCAAGCAACATGGAACATGGCGGCGGCTAGGTACGTTACTAGAGAGTTAATGCTTGTATCCGGATGCTTGGGCTGAATTCTTTTCTATTGAAACAGGAATATTAATTTCTGTGTTGTGGAAAATATTTAATGTTAATTTGCAAAACTTCCCATTGTCTGCAGAGACTTTTGAAGCCATCTCTCTAATTTTTGCAACTGTTCAAAAATCAAAATTTCACACGTTTTTCCGTGTGTTCATGTAAAACCCTGACGAGGAGTTGGTGTGTGATTCTGTTCCGAGAACAGTAATCTTGAGTCGTGTTCCTGTCGTCCGAGCGCAAGAACAAGAAACCTGTGTCAAGAACAGGCCGCCCGAACTCGACCAGAGACTCAAAATCTATATTCAGTGCAGTAATTTTTACTTTTCTCTTTTTTCGAGACGAACTGAAGTTTTTTGAAATTTCAAACTTACAAAGGTTTGTGAATGCTAACCTAGAGGCATGCCCTTCTTACCACAAATTATTTTTGACATCATTTCCATCATCATTTCAAAACATGTTGCTATGACAAAAACAAACCAGCTTTATGAAACATGGCTGAATCAAACAAGACTGATTTTAGATGCAGCATATCAAAAATGAAGAAGTCAAAACCTCAGGATTTTGTCCTTAAACGAAATTACTTTTCCAAATCGTCCAGGATTCTGAACGGCTGCTGAGGCAGAGGGCGCTATTACTAAGAGGACTGAGGGCCGAATCTCAACGAGAAATAGTTTCGAAAATGGAAAGGAATAGTGTTAAGAGTTGGGGGCGCTCTTTACCTTCTTCGCAATATCTCCCTTGCCATTTTTCTGGGCAGATGCAGTCGTGCCGGTTGTCCAAATTTAGACACTGTCCACCGTTCAAGCATGGATTACTGGCGCACTCATCAACGTCTGTATACAGTAAAAAAAATTTAAAGTTACCGAGTTAATATCAAATTATATTTTTTTATATTTTTAAAGTTCTGGAGATACTCCAAAAATGTTATTTGTAGTTTGGATTCACAACACCCACTCCAGGATATCAAGTTTGTTTTCTCTGCCAGAACAACACCTGTTACTGCAAAATGAGAACCCCCCCCCCGCTGCAATGGCAGGACAATGATCGACGTATTCTCGAAAAGGAGAGTTCACTATTTCTGAAAGTTCTTTGTTACTTGACGCAAAAGTCAAAATAAAAAAATCCATCGGTTAAATTGGAGGAGTTTTCCCTCCACTTTTAGTCTGGCATAGCTTGGTTTTTCATGAGACTGCATTATTGTCCTCGGTTTTTATTTCCCCTATACATGTCACTTACAGAGGGGTTAAGATGACACATCTATAGAGGAAAACGTGAAGTTGTTACCAAGGGAGAAAAGCGAAAAAGCACCTCAGACTATCTTCAGGCAGTTTGTGAAATCCAAAACGACTGCAAGTAAACCAATACTGTACACCCTCCGAGTGTATGTGATATTTGGCATGTGTGCACTTGACTAGGGTCTAAACGCAGGACGTGCACCATCAATAGTGAGTAATACTTTTGTAAGAGGTTCTGATACGGCGTACTCGTCAATGAGCGCCCTCTGGTGTTTGGGTACTTCTAGACTGACCTATTTCACACATGACCCCGGTAAATCCTGGGAAGCACAGGCATTCAAATCGGTTAGCGCCCTCAATGCACTGACCACGTCGACAAGGGTTACTGGCACACTCTAATGTATCTGGAAAAAATATCAGAAAAAGTATTGCTTCCTAATTCAGGTGAGACAAACTCTTGACAATACTGTATGAGTTGTTGATAGGCCCACTATATCAGGAACATCAAACGTTGTTTTCTTATTGAAAAGAAAAACATAAAAAACTTAACCATGATTACCGTTTACCTGTAAAGTGATACTCCTATTCCAATCCAATGTTTTCTACATGTACATGATCATAATGAGTACATATTCAATATGCACTCATATTCTTCATTATCAGAAAATATGACTAACAAATTTGCACACAATTCAGTTTTCTCAACTGCAGGTTGTGGTGGGATGGAACAAGAAATAACTTCCTCCAGCTAGCACTCGTCTTCAATGTATATTAGACTGGGTCCTGCATTTAATTGACCAGAGGATTGCATTAAATAGGAAAATCTACGGTGGTGGTGACGCTTATCTTTATATTTTGTTCTCCATAAAAAGCGCTTTGACATTGGAAAAAGGAGTAAAACGGGACCAAAAAGATTGTCCAAGTTACCTTGGCCGCATGTAAGTCCAGTCCAGCCTGGGGTACAATCACAGTTGAAACCGTCCAGCAAATCTTGGCAGGTTGCCCCATTTTGACATGGTGAGCTGGAACACTCATCCACCTCTTGATAAATAAAAGAGAAACGCCCAGAAAATTACCCATAAGGCCAAAAAAAGTTTCCAGTTTCTCGTTAGCGCGTGCGTATGCGTCGCAGTAGACCTGCGCGTCCGCAAAATAAAGGTTTTTATTTGGTATAATAACGCTGTCCAAACGCTGCCAAACTTGCTTGATCGATCAGAATCCTGATACTGAGTAATTTTAAACGTGTTGTAGATGGGGTACGATAGAGTAATAGGAACAGTAAAGGAGTCCCTCTAGGCCCCTAAAGTTTTAGTAAGGCTCTTTTTCAGATGACGTCATTTGTTATACATTTACATCTGCGAACAAGACAAACGACGCGGTCTTATGTCCTGTGTACATCTAAAAGCCGAAAAGGCTTTTAAACGTTCAATAGTGAGGAGGCCAGTCTACGTACAAGCCCATGTGCATGTACATCATCTATAGAACAAACGTGAGGGAAAAAAGCCACGTCGCCACACCACTTTTGGAGACAGCCCCTGAAAAGAAACCCGGCGAGTTTTTTTGGCCCAATGAAATCATACAGGTAGTTTTAAGAGATCACAAGTTAATTTTCACGTATTGGTATTTGTGAACCCCTTTCCCGATTGAAGAAACTGTTCATAAATAGAGCTGTTGAGTTTTAGTCAATTTTAATAATGTCACATGTCACCAAATGTTCTTTGTTTTTTTTTTCAGACGAAAACATCGCAATCCAGACACAAATTTGAGTAAAAGTTGACTTTAACACTGGATTTGTAGAAGACTACACATGTACACTACATCTGGAAACCGTGTAAGTTCAATAGTGTGTTATAAACGTTTCCACAAATGAAGTTTGCCTTAAGTAAGACTTATGGCCTGCTGAATTCAGTGTATGCGTCTGTTGATGCTGACTTTACAGTAATGCTTTGCAGCAAAAGGCCTCTCCATTGCAACCTCTTGGTGGTGCACTTTCCTATTGAAAACTGCAGCGTCAACTGAATTAATGTGAGACACTCTGCAATGAATACTGCCTGGGTTAAATTTCAAACCAAGGGAGGGTGGAAACCCAACTACCCAAAACTGTGAGTTGTATCAACCCGATTTTGGTGGTTGAAATTGATATTCCGGTTTATTTTAGCCAAAAATCGGTTAATATTACCAATTTGGCGATTGACAAATGAACCAGAAATAAATTTGTATCCCAAGACTGGGTTAATATATACCATTCTGGGACGTTTCAGATTTTATCCCCTATGATTGTAATTCAACCCACTGCAGGCAAATTTGTAGTGTGGAATGTCGCCCTTGTAGGGCTTGTTGCTCATATTAAAATTTTAACATGACGCCATTTAAAAAAAAAATTTGTGCTTATGAACACACCACATACCTTGTTCGCAGTTTGGTCCCTCAAATCCACTTGGGCAGTAACATATGTACAGTCTATGGCCCACGCCGTGGTAACACGTCCCTCCATTTATGCATGGATTACTCTTACACTCATCAAAATCTGAAGCCAAAGGGCAAACGGATTTCCTTTTACTAGTCGTCCCTACCAAAAGTAACTATCATTATGACATGCTAATCAACACGATTGGTAGGTTGCTGTACACAATTTGCTCCCAATGAAAACCGACAAACCCTTATTTCTAAAAGTCAAAGAAAACACTGTAAGAAGAATCATACCATCTTAACCAAGTGGAGTTATTGTGTGAAGAAAACAAATTCTGAAGACGATGCTCAGAAAAGTTTGTAAATTGTCGAATTGTAGGAGAATACAGATTTTTTTTTCTTTAATTTCTCGCTCCCTTCAGGCCAGTGATGACAATTTTAAATATTCTGCATAGGGTAATATCTTCAACTGTCCCAAGCATCTGCCATTTAAACTTTGACCTTACCAAACTGGCATTCCGGTCCGGTCCATTCCTGGGGACAATGACACAAGTAACCATTGATCTGGTCCTCGCATGTCCCAGTATGCTGGCAGGGTGAGCTGGTACACTCGTTGATTTCTGTTCATAATGAAACAAAATAGCACCATCAAAATCACATCTGCAACGACTGAAAGATTCCTTTTACTAGACTTCAATCGACAAGTCCAGAACACTGCCAGAAATATACAGATTTCCAGTGCTTGAGATCAAAGTTCTCTGAGATAAGATATATGGGTCAAATTATTCATGGTGTTAGCGGGTTGGAGAGTAGTTACAGAGCTGGAGTACGACTACAAACTCGCCTATTTCGCAGTTTGTTCCCTCGAAACCATCTGGACATGTACAGTTGAACCCGGTGAAATCACTCGCACATGTACCGTTGTTAACACAAGGGTCGCTGGTGCAAAAATCTGCATCTGGAAAAATAAGGAATTAAGTTTAAATTTATATGAGATAAAGCAAATGCTGTACACTGGTATCTTTCAGGTATTCAACAAAAACTGAGATAGGAAATAATTGAAACTTGAATAATTTGTGCCGGAAATGGAACGCCTCCTGTGGAAGTCTTCAGTTCTATAGGCTTTGTTTGTTTTATTGGTCTACCAACATCACACGCAGTTCTCACGTACTGTTACCACCTGCCTCCAGAAAATTCAAGATATGTCGGATAAAATAATGGAACCCAAAATCATAATATTCTGATGAAACAAAAAAAGGAAGATTTGTTACCTAATTCGCATGTGAATCCTCTGTAATACTCCGTGCACGTACACTGAAAACCGTTAGGTCTGTCGATACATGTACCGTTATTCATGCATGGCTGGTTAAGGCAGTCGTCGATATCTAAAATAAGAAGCATAATACGTAGAGAATTTAAGAGAATCAAGATTCGTTACGTACTGGATAAATAACACTCGAGTTTTAATATTAAGAGATTAAACCAGGCTGACCTATTTCACAGTTGACGCCTTCAAAGCCAGACGGACACGTGCATGTGTAGGAGTCTACGCCGTCCACGCATGTCGCGGCATTCTGACACGGACTGCTGGAACATTCATCTGACAAAGTACAAGTTGAAATAATATTTCGGAGACAGTCCAAATTGAAAGGTAACCCGAAACATAGAGAATGTCGACGGGGGATTACCAGTCAACAAAACTCAATGATAGGGGACTTTATCAGAACTTTCTGACAGAATGAGAACTTCAGTTACTTCAACCGACAGAAAAAAATGCAGCAGAGGTCCACAAAACAGGTGTAAAGTGGGCGCCATTCCAGTGTTGAGGAAACGTACTTGTGAAACTTAGGTGATTGAGCTATAAGGAATTGCTATGATTTGAAAAAATTCGAATGTCATTTTATCTTGTCTTTTTGGAGAGAATGTCCTTCGCGTTCCTGGCGAGAGTATGAACCTATACAAAGTCATTGTCAGTGGTGCACTGCTTTTTCAATGCCACTCTACTTGTGCGATCTATCAGCGTGAGGAAAAAAACTAATCCAGGAGGGCCAACGAACCTGCCAAAAAGGAGCACCCTTTTTCAAATAATGAAAGGCGATTTAATCGCTGTATTTAATTCCCTTCCTTCATAATGCGTGTAACAAATCAAGATGTAGCCCCATCACTCAGAGGGGCCATGCAAATCCAGATTTTTGCCCCCCCCACGAGTTTGATCCTTCTAAACATTTGGTTTTGGATCCGTCCTCGCGTGAGGAAGAGAAAGGCTTGAGAGTCACATCTACTCACCGTCAATACACACGCCGCAGCTGTAGTGGCAGTTGGCCATCATGTAGTAGGGGTTCTTTGTACACTCGCCCAGTTCTTTCCACCTTGGACAGTTGTCATGGGAGTCCTGACAGACTGGTAGTAAAGGGGATTTTCATTTACTGGTGAGTATGATATTATGCAGCTACCTTAATTTGACACACCCCGATGTTTTCGCCAACATCACTGATAAAGATCACGATATTGTTCGTGGTAATTCACCCCCCGAAATACCAGGCTAGTTTCCAAAAATTCTTACTCAAGTATTAAAACCTCAAAATTATAATAAAAGAAAAAGATTCTTATTGCATTTTCAAGCAAATGAGCAATTTAAGGCCAAGATTGTAGTGAACTACATGTGCATATATAAGGGTGGACGTTCTGAAAACGTTGGCCGCTCATGCAAAATGGCCACCAATATTTGCATTATACAAAAGAAAGGTCCGCAAGTGCATAGGCGTAGTAACAAGTACTTTATAAAGGAAAAAACTATTCTTACTGTACTCTTCGCAGACTCCGCACGCTTTCTGACAGTAAATCAACATGTAGTTGGGGTTGATTTTACACTCTCCCACAGCCGCCCAATACATACAGTTTTTATTGCTGTCAACACACGCTGTACGATCCAAAAGAAACAGAAAAGAAATTTCGTTTCTGGTATATGCAAAACACGGTTAGCATTAACAGACCCCACTCAGTGCACGAGTGAAATTAAACTTTTTGCACTGACGAGGAATTTTAGTTTTGGGGCTCCTATTATCCATATGATATTCGCAGGGAGTAAGGTGGTTCACCTTGAAACGTAGGAATGCACAAGATGATGCCAACAATCGGGGCGCCGTTCACAAGTACCGATATACCGTTCCCCCTAAAGGTTAGTTTCTAGACAATATGTTGATGGAGGGAAGGGGGTTTTACAGATAAAATAAATGGGCACTGTGTCATAGAAAAATCTCCATTTTTGTCCCCCAGAACGCAAAACCTGGAAAAGCCACTGCCCAGTTCCTACCTCAGTAACTATTTGAACAATCGAAGAACGGAATTAGAACATCATTTAGGGACAGAGAACAGTCAACCCGCCTCCTTGGTAACGGTATCAGGCAACATGTGTCAACCAGTGAATTACTATTGTCAGATTAGGCCAACTTCGATCAGTGGCCATTATGTCAAGCACTGATCCAATTTGCCTGGTACCCAGGATAGTTTCGAGCACAGGTTGCCGAGGAAAAATCGACCAGGGATCGACAAATGTTCGATGACTGAACTTGGCCTGATATTAGTTATGTCCGTTCAAAGGGATATCTTTGCTCGGAAACAAAGCGCCCTCTCCCCGTTCTTTTGTGAATACTTTAATTTGGGAACAACACTGAGGCCGAACTCATTAATCTTTCTTTTTCTGTGGATTAATTAGCACCCCACGACCCCTCGTTTTTGTCACTGGTCAATTCCTCCCACTCCTAATCGTCATCATGGAGTCTTACTGCTCAAAAGGCGATTTGTCTCACCTAGTTCGCAGTTAGCGCTGTGCCAGCCGCGGGGGCAGGTGCAGTTAAAACCGCCAACAGTGTTGATGCACGTTCCACCGTTATGGCACGGGCTAGTGTCGAGTGCACACTCATCAACGTCTTGAAAAGAGATCACAAAGAGAGGGACGAAAATTGAAACACTCCGGTCGGATGACAAATTGTTCAAACCATTAGATTCTGATCAAGACTTTCGTCCTTGTCAAAGTAACAGAATTAAAAAAGCTTATGCTTTTTCACAAGTAAAAACCAGTATTGACAGTTATAGAATCAGGTAAGGATATAAACACTAAAGTAAAGTTCTCTCAAATATTTATTTTCGAAAGTGAAACCCACTGAACTACTTGCATGCATAGTGACACATTCAGTACATGTGCTTGTAGGTACTCATGCAAAACTAAAAGGCAAGCCTTGCAAGATTTTCCAGTTATGATTTTAACAAACTCACCATTCCTCTGAAAGAAACAAGAGGTAAATGGAATGAAGAAGGTTCACCTTAAATGCCAAAGTGACTCAATCAGTGTTATTAAGTGGAGGAGCAATAGCTCTTGCACTACAGTTGTGTTGGACCATAATCTCCACAAAAGCATGCAGCGATCAAAAGAGCAGAAACCTCAAAGCTTAAATCTGAAGGTCTTACACCGTCACCTCATCACTATTTAAAATCAAACGAAAATTCGTAATTGAATTGAAGAAAGTCTTCCAACGACATCCGTCAGGTCGATGACACCTTCAGGTCTATTTAGCACCTATAATACGTGAAGGATGACTTTTCAGCGACAACTGCCAACCTTTAATATGCAACTCTCGACAGATGAGCTACAGCAAGTGCAGGATATTTTAGAACATAGGATCCCATTGGGCCCGTGACTGACAGAATAAATTAAGTAGAAAGACATAAACACCTCTGAAGTTTCCATAAACACATTCAGCGGATAGATGAAAAGGTCTAAATTATGTTTGGGAAACGGGAATTTAAACATAGCCTACTGATACAAGAGCAAACTTTATGAATGGCTCAAAATGTCATTTAAACGGAAAAGTAAACAGACATTTCAATGATTTAGTCGCCCATTATGTGATACACATTGAGCCACATTCACGAAACTACATCCACAAACTGATTATGAAGCACTTGTTTTCTTTACCGCCAGTGTATGGCGCCCTCAGCTTAACAGATCATATCTACACAAGGTAACACACTCATTACACTACGTTTTTGTTTCATAAAAATTGAAGTCGGCAAGGACTGATAGTCCTACACTTCTAGTAAAAGACCATAATGTAAGACCAGACCTGACCAGGTCAGGCCAGGCCAGGCCAGACAATCAACTAACTTTGAACATGGGTCCAGTCATTCTCTTACCTTCCTCACAGTTCTCGCCAGTCCATTCCGACGGACATGAACACTCGTAATGATCGTAGAAGCTGGTACAGGTTGCGTCGTTCTGGCACGGCGAACTTTCGCATTTGTCGATACTTGCACGATCTGTATAAAAAGGCAACAAAAAGTAGGAAGAGCTCTTTGCTTTAAAGAAACTATAGTTCAATTATAGTGCAATTGTAATTGGTTTGATTCTTGTTTTCTCCCGTTTTTATCCTTTCAAGAGTGGATTTCTAGGCAAATACTTGGTCAACAATTTGGAAAAGGCAAAAAAAAGGGTAAAGTGCGAGGAGAAGAGCTATGAGGTGGTTGTCCTTATTTATGACCTATCCGCCTCGAGCAGAAGCACCTCGTCGGTTGGAAAGAGCCGTGTTGGTCGGGAGTGTTCATTTTGTTGGTAGCGATGCGACCGTGACGCGTGCATTTCCTAGTCGTTCGTGAACAGGCGATGTTCAGTTCCGACTAAAGGTCTATACCACTGCCAAAGGAGAGAGTGGGTTGCAACGCCACATACCCAATATTCCATATATTTATTCTTTACCAATCTCGCAATTTCCTCCAGCCCACCGTTCGGTACATAGGCACTCGTAGTGGTCAGTATAGCTGCTGCAAGTCGCCCCATTCTGACATGGGTCGCTCGAGCACTTGTCCACAGTTGCCATGTCTGAGAAGCAGAGAACGAAGGAAAAAGTCACTGAAAACTACATTGCGATGAACAACATGAATTGTGAAATACAATGGAAAGTGTTCATATACATGTAGATATACATTTACATACATGTAGATAAACATGTAGATTTTTTTCAGAGATGCTTACCTGTTTCGCAATTATCGCCAGTCCATTCGGCAGAGCAGGTACATGTGTAGACCGGATTGCCGGCGGTACCCTGGCAGGTCCCGCCGTGTCGGCAAGGATGCCTGTCACAGGGGTTGGTACGGACTTTTGCTGCATTTTAAGGGGGAAAAGGAACATATTCCAATCTTCATTATCTGTGGCAGTCATTGGAGTTAATATCCGAGGAAACTAGTGGTATTGAGACATTGTTTAAATACTGAGACATATGATGTTTCTTTCCGTTGTTTGATAGATTGAGGTTAGATGTTCTTCCATTTTGTTTTCAATCACTTAATACATTCAGACTGAAACCATTTATCACTTGATTTAAATTTATTTAAACATTACGTTTTCTTTTTACAAAGATCTTTTGGAATTTTTATATTTTATTTATCTTAATTTCACTTTTTTTTCAACCCACTTCCTATTAAATGTTTCAAGGTTTAGGAGCTTCTTTTACAGGAAATTGGTTTAACGAATGAGCTTTAGGATAGGCCTACCTATTTCACAGTTCCTGCCCTCGAAGTCTCGAGTGCAACCACATGTGAACTGCCTCTCTGATTGAACGATGCAAACACCGCCATTCTGGCAGTGATTAACCTCACAAGGATTGGGAATGTCCTCTGTTGAGTTCAAGGTTGAAGAAAGGGTGGAGAAGAACGAACACAAAACAATCTTTAAAGTTAAAGTTACAAGATCAATCAACAATGTTTGCAACATGACAAAATCCGTAAAGATCTCGAGCAACATGTTAGTTTCCTGGGCCACATAAGTTAAGACTTCAAAAAGATCTGATCACAGTTGTGATCAAGCGAACAGATGCATTTGAATTGCTGCACGCTATAAGCATTACGACGTTCCATGGATGACCTTGAGGTAGGCCTATATCGGTATTAGACGTAAACGTAGGCAAGGCCTACATGACAACAACTGGTTGGTGTTTCAAAGCCCCACTTCCATGGTTCATTTATAGAATAAAGCCTAAAGCTCGGTGTTGTAAAGCCACCTCTGATGGCAAATTAAGGCTACAAGATTGTTGTTTTTTAGAACGGATCTAAGGACTTACAACCGTGAAAATTTTCAAGACAAAGACTCAAGACTTGATTCGTAGAGGAAAATAATACCGGTGCCTAATAGGTATCAAATATTTTCCAAACTGAAGATGATGTCATTGAGTCCTGTTACTTTTCTGTTCTCAACACCTGCTCAAGTCGCCGGTAACGATTAGCCCTTCACTAAAGTTGAGTAAAACGACCTCACTCACCGACATCACAGTCAGCACCGATCCACCCTTCCTTGCAGACACACTCGTAGTACGTGGTGAAATTGTAGCACGTGGCGTCGTTCTGGCACGGATTCGGGTCACATTCCGAAGAAGACTCGGTGTCCTCTGAAATCACGGAAAACGTGCACATGCAAGCATGCGGGGAAACAGTCAAGAATGACGTGCACATTAAAATACAACTACAAATAGCAGGGGGGAAATGCACATCCACACTGATTAGGACGGGGGTGCAGCGAGCGAGCAGAGCGCGATCGGAGGAATCAGACAGAAATAAATATGTGACCCATCATTCCAAAGCCGGGCTCGAAGAATTAAAGCATTTTCACAATTTTATTGCCTGTAACTTCCATAGTTTCCTGCGTGTAAAATAATTGGACCACCGCTTTAAAGCATGAGGTGGAATGGAAGTATCAAACATAAAAAAGGAGGGCCTACTTCCTTCGGCCTGGTTTTGGAATACTCCGTGACACATATTTAATACGTAATATGTATAATTCAGCTACTAATCTGTAAGCAGATTGGAGCTAATCTGTAGTCAGATTTTACGCCTTTAATTGGAACCGCTTCACCCGTACACAGGGTGAAGCACACTGGCGTCACAAGAGGGGGTGCCACACCCCAGTTGGTTAGTTTTGTCGGCAAAGTCATGGTCTGTCTGCGAAATAAAAAAACGAAGAACGGAGAATAAGATGAAAGGAAGAAGGATAGAGTACACTTGTTTTCCGTGACGGTCCGTCGGCAAATTTCATGTGGCACCCCCCAGTCAAAATGGTCTAGCAACGTCCGTGGTGGAGCAGTTCCAATTGATTCCACTTCCTGGCCTGGAAACGGGGGGGGTATTACCGGTGGTTAAAAGGTGCACACGGTTGAAAGCAAAGAAGTTGAAATAACAAACAGGTTTGAAAATCACTGATTGAAAATCAGTTAAGACCCCCTTCCCCCTTATTTGCTTATACTAGCTATCAAAGGTTAACCCGTCAGTCTGAATCATTTTGGAGGGTTCGCTGAGGAACAGCAGGGAGACTTTTCGATCAAGGAAGGAAAGTGTTGAAATTACAAACCAAAAGGGCGTACATAAGGCACCCCTTGGGTTCCAATAACAATCGGAAACTGTAACAAGAGCAACTTCATCAGGGGCTTGGATTACGAGGGGTAACCCGAAGAGAGGTTTAATTACCTTGAGGTAAACTTGAGAAGGGCGACCTCTAAAACTTGGAAAATTGACATTACAGTTTTACTCTCTCATCACATATCAAAATAAGTGGGGAGGAGCCACTTTTAAAACGAGCATACCATCATAATTTGTATGAGCCCTTCAGTTTTAAGAAGTTCCAAACGTAAACTGATATAGGAGATAACTTCTGACTTGTCAGGTGCCATATCAATGCCAATAGAAAACAAAATGTACTCTGAAGTGAAGTCACGTTTCAGTTGATAAGGGTAACTTGAAGTCTTCCCCTTTGAATGCGCACACCGTCTTCAACATTTTGTATCCGTCCCCGGTTGGTGTTTTTCGGTAGATGGGGGGGGGGGCATTGAGAAAGAAAACAAAGTGCAAGAAGCTAAGTGGAGTGGACAGTAAGGGATGTTGTCAGAGGAAGGGACTGATTATACCTAGCTTGGCTGATATTGGATGGAACAGAGAACCTTTTGTCCCCCTCAAAAAGAGAGATACTTGACGGTGTCAAGAACGAAAAGGTTGGCTCTTATCTTGCTTTTGGAGATGCTTCCAACATTTGCTTCACGTTGGTGAATGATCTGATCAAAGACTGACTTGTGATGCCCATATAAACCCCTCCGGGCAAACAACTGTGGACTATCGCCCCCTCTTCGCTGATCCTAAAGTCAAATTTCCAGGGCACCATCAGTAAATGATTATTGTTTCAAAAATACTTTTCACCATGTTCAAGTTTGTCAAATGCCTTGCTGTTTCAGAAATCAGTTTCAACAATAAAGAAAAATTCGTAGTGCTTTTCCCTTTATCTCATTGACTATTGATTTGTGGAATGTTAATCTGACAAGAATTCTAAAACGAGGAATTTACTTGTCTTTCCTACGACTCTGTAACATCAGAAACGGCATCAATAGAACGAAATTACCACCAAGCATGGCAAATTAAAGGACAAGCAAGAGCATACAAGTACAACGTGCCAAAGTGCAAGGTCAAGTGTCAAAGTTCTAACCGAGTTCGCAGTTGTCCCCAGTCCAGCCGAGGGGGCACTCGCAGGTGTAGGTTGTGCTGTTGATGACCACGCAGTGACCGTCGTGTAAGCAGGGTCGGCTGGAACACGAACTTGTCAAATGTTCTAGGTAAGATCACACAACAATAAATTAATCACTCTATTTGTCCCAACAGTGACAAATGACACCCGACTGCAGCTATTCAAGGAGTTCAATAAATGGCTAAATGGTACTAGGACTGATGTAGGTTCAGCTTTAAATAAATGCTAAGAGCAAACGCTTACATGAAACAAGCTAAAGTCCTTCCCTGCCACACTGTGCAAATGACATCCGCCAGTGTCATCCCATGGCAGTGACAAATCCATTGTCACCGTTCATAATGACTTTCAACATAATGCATGCAATATACATGGGCAGTGTCGCTCAATTTGAATCATTGGAAAAAAAACCCTAAAAAAAGAAACTGAGTGGAAGGCAGACGCATCCATGTACAGACCCACAAGCAGACTTCGAATTGTTCCACAAGTGTGTTAATTGAAGAGGTCGTGGGAAAGTTTAAGAAATACATCTCCTTTGCAGTTCGTGTCTGAGGGACGCAGGGTAGTCATGACTTCGTCTAAGATGATACAGTCGTCAAAATACAAACCGAATTCAACTTTGCCATTTTCAGTAGGAACTAATCCGTCATTCATTTTTTTTAGAGGCCCCTCTTCCTCTACCTTGATCTCGTGCCCCCTACTTTTGTGGTCACTAGGGATCCACGCCCATATGTTTCGCCTCCCATGCGTATTGATGATTAATCGTTGAATTAAAATGTTTTCTGTCAGTAAGCTCCGGACGAGTATACTTTGCTCTCGTGAGTTTGACTCATGTGTAATACCATCGCTTTAAAGCCAATTTAAAAAAACAGTTCCTCGTCCAACCCCCGTTTCCTTTTCGTCTGCGTTTTTATTTCTTAGTTTTTAATTTCTTTCGGGTTGTTCCGAATATTGACAACCTATTTTGATTCTTTAAGGCAACTTTAAGATAAGTCAGTGAAAACTCCTTCTAAATAGTATCAGTAACATTGTCATGAAAATCTATCTACCATCTTTGAAAATAATACGTCATCTAATAAAGTCCCCACTCGTTTAACTGAGACTGGACGAGTACATGTACTCCTTTTTTACTCCGCCTAATATGCTGGGTAGACTGGGACCAGGATCACGCGTCTCCCGCAGGCTTGGCCCCGTGGAGTCCTCACCTCTGTTGCAGTTGACTCCTCCCCATCCTTCCGTGCAGTTGCACCTGTACCCCCCGATCACCGGTTGGCAGGTGCCCCCGTGGCTGCACGGGTTCGGGGAGCAGTTGTCCCGCCTGGACTCGTTTCTCTGCACTGTCGATCAAAAAAGGTGGGAAAAACACCAAGATCCAGAGTGAAATGCTATCGGGATGGTATGGCTGTTGTGATGATGTCAACATTTCGCCAAAGGGGGTTTCGTGGACGTTAGACAAGGTCCCGCTACTTCCCCCGGGTTCACTTGAAAATGTGGTCCCAGTAGCGTGCTTGTGGTGTTCACTCCTGGGAATCAGTGAACACCTACTCATATAAAAAAAAAATGAACAGGAAAACTGGTCAATTCAAACTAGGATTCTTCTGCGTCGAGCTTTTTCCTGTTTATCTGCACCAATTTTGGCAGCTGGTCCCACGGTGTCGCTCTGGCTCGCCAGCTGAACACTAACACCGGTAGCCCGGGAGTTGGCTCATAGCCCACTCAGTTCCCTTCACTGAAGCGTCTCGATAAGCGGACAAAAATCTGACATTTGGAGCAGAAAAGTCTGAACGTACCGGATAAAAGGAAATATCCCTCCCCTCCCCTCCATCAAATGCCTTTGACTGGCGCCGCCGGCATTATTTTTTTCATTTCCAAATGTTTCCCCCAGCATCGTAAAAATGCTGCGAAGCGTCAGTGAAAGCTACCATCTTTCTGCCTCTGTGAAGCTCATTTCCTCAAACCCTTATTTCGGGGTACGCTAAAATAGCATGTTTTGGTCTCCCGTTTCCGACTGCATAGGACTGCACTTCCAGAGACACGTCGATTGATGTGAAGCCTTTATAATAAAAACAGGACAGATCATCGATATCTTCAAGCCTATATAGTAACTGGGACAGGCCGCCTCAGAGCCGATTCTGAACCTTACGTTCTCGCAGTGACTCAGCTGTGATGCAGTGCGGGCCCAGGAGCTTGAAATCATCGATAGCGATGTCTCCTGAGGCACCTTCCCCGCGGATCCCCTCAAAGACAACCTTAGGGGGGGGGGAGAAAAAATGTAAACAAAATTAAAAATTGAACAAGTCATTTGCATATGCACGCTGTCCCATCAGGGTCACCCATTCAGCGTGCCGATTTAATATAAACAGCGATAATGTGGGCAGAGATTTAGTCCTGTAATTGACAAATGCGAATTAGCACTTCAGCTCTTTACCCGTCAACATTTCTAATACGCTCAAGACGTGGTAGTGTGCGGTGGTGTGTACCTTCCTTTCAAAAACATTGCACTAACATTTTCAGACTAATAAACTGCAACATCGGGGTTACTTTTACTGCTAGAACATGTGTTATGTACCCCTCCTCTAATTTAATAGGTCCACGTGTACATAACCTTGGAGCAATCTCAAAGCACCTACATATTTGGTCAATCTTTCAAAGGACACTTTTTCTTTTTAGAATATTTATTTATCGGCTTTATACTGAAAGCGATTTCTCTTCTTTCTAAAGGTTTCATCAAACTTCAGATTTCGACAGTATATTTTCATTTTAGAAGAGTCTCCGATGACTGAGCCAAAATGCACCCTTACCCGGTAGCTCCCGACAATGTTCGTGATGTTGAAATATCCCTCGATCCAGACGTTGCCATGGTCACCCGCTTGTGTAAAATAGGGCTCCCCTAGATGGCCCGGACGTTCCATGATATGGACCTGCGTTTTGGAGAGATAAAATCTCATATAAAAACAAACGATTTAACGACGCTTTCTGCCCTCGCGGTCTGTCACTTGGTGGCGCCTATAGGCTTAATTGCTAATGGTCAAATCCTATCTCGCTCTCACCTTCAGGTGGCCCACGTGTTCGCCGTACATGTGATACCAGAATGACACGTCACAGTCGCCCTGCATCTTGGTGTAGCGTGGACTCAGGAGGTGAGCCTTTTCCCCCTGGTTTGGCCCGGTGGCCTCGATGTACCTGTATGTGCCTATCCAAAAGCAACATACATTTAATATTGTCTAATAACGCAGCTCGTATCACAGATGGCCAACTCGACATAGGATAAGTGTAGGGAATACGAGACCCTTTAGCTCATTTGCATAATTTACATAAACATGAATATAGACAAACACTTTGTTTGCTTGTGCAATCTCTTCAGTAGCTCCTTGTCTTTATCTAGGTATTTACATAACAATGACCCAAACTGTTTGTTTAACGAGGTAATGAGGATTAATGACGTCATTATCAAAGGTCTCTAATTACCTACAAATGTAGGTAATACCTGATGGATAAAATTCACATTTTTTCCAAAGAATTTTGGAAAAAAGGGCACTGTAATTTCAAATTGATACACTTATCAGTTGGACACCTGAGCAACACAAATGTGTATTCCTTTCCAAATAGATGCAAAACGCAGCAGCAGACCAAAAATCAACTACTACTGCAGTGCATGATAGTAACCATACACAATAACATCCGCCATATTGGTGTCCCATATTACTTTCACCTATTGTCGGCTGATGACTTTCATAAAGGGCACTGTAACACCCTTTAGTACACACAATGGCCAACAGAGTTCTGTGGCAGTTAAACCACTTCATAAACATGTTACACAAAGTACTTTTAGAGCCCACTTCTTCATTAAATCTTCATACCGCAACGTCCCTTGAAAACTCAGTATTTATATCAGAGGAAAATCAAAGCATGTCAAAATCGGACCTTTACAGAATTTTCATGGAGAAGTCTGGGCTAGAAGTGTCGAAACTACGTTAGATCAGTGTAGGAATGACGGTAGAAACAACAGATATGGCGCTATAACAACACTGCTTACATGCAGACTAGCTTCAGTCTGGTGGTCTCGTATTCCCTACACATTCCCTATCATGATTCCACTTGCCACAGAGTGTACGTATCTTGAAGCAACAAACGTTTAACATTATGCAAATCAGATAAAATACGCTTAGTCTTTGAAGCAACGTCTTACATAAGAGTTGGGAAAATATCACCGTGCCTCTTCCTAGAAAATTCCATCAAATACAGCAAAACAAAAGAATGAGATTTCATCCCTATGTTTGATACTTCGCAATGACGCCGGAGGGTGTTGCTCATTCGTCATATCAAAAAGTACCCATGACGGATACTGTACGATGATAACGTTCTTCCGTTGCGATGCTCGACACTTTTCCTGAAGAGTCCCGCGAGTACTTGATTAACGTGAGGGACAAGTTCCTCCATTTCTCCCAATACATCCCTTGGATGGCAGCCAGTTTTGACGCGCGTGATTTCTTCTTCCGAAAGGATATGAAAGAATGGAGGCTTTCCTGCATGTGTGCGTGCATTTTTCGTGAATCGGACCAGCAAATTTCAGCTCCCACGAGCTACTGGTCACAAGGGGTCCGAACTACAAGTTGGTGGCACGATGCTACTAGGATACATCCAATGACATGAAACACTGAACATTTTCCTGTAATTGCCTTGTTTGAAATGAAGATTTCAAGAACTTGTCCAGAATTTATCACCGTGCTCATTAAGGCAAACAGCCGTTTTCTTTGGAAATCCGTGTTCGGTGTAATTTTATCAAAGTTTGACAGTGCAATAAAGCGCATAAATTGTTTTGTTTGAAGTAGAGCTCACGCATGGACTGAAGGAATCCTCTCCGTTCATCACATCCCAGACATTACCGCAGATTACGATACCGCAATAGGAAACGATTTTCGGTGAAAAGATCGGATCTTAGTGTAAGATGGTGTCTTGCAAGCCATATTCAGAAATACTGCCTAAAAGTTGGTTTCCAGCGACAGAGTATGGAACTTTTAAGTCAACCAATATATAACTAAATGGGTCAAAGTTGAGTGATAATACACATTAAAACACTATGGCGCGCACTCTAAAAACTCCTGGGTCCGAGTGACCCAGAAAGGGTCACATATCATAAAGGGTCAAATATGACCCATAAAGGGTCAAATGTGACCCGAAACGGGTTCATAGTTTGACCCAGAAAGGGTCACATATCATAAAGGGTCAAATATGACCCTTAAAGGGTCAAATGTGACCCGAAAGGGGTTCATAGTTTGACCCAGAAAAGGGTCACGCCGAATGGGACCCAACTCTAGTTCAATCTGACCCGGGAGTTTTAGAGTGCGCTTTGAGTACGTAAGTTAAAATCTCATTAGCCAAACAAAGTCAAGTGTTTATGGCGGTTGGTTGAGTAATGGTTGGGCAAAATAAAGAAACCCTGCGGCCGCATAACACATAAGGATATGGCATTCACATCATGGTGGTGCAATGAACCAGCCGTCGCTTCGAGTGTGTCCCTTCGGAGTTGACGGATTAATTTGACAGTGCAATTTTGATCGATCGATTAATTTCAGATTGTTTCAATCAGACTGACGTCCTCCAGCCTGACTTTCAGTCTCCAAAGGTCGGGACAGCGATGGCAAATGACGCCCGTCAGGGGAGACTGCCTGGCATCGGTGCTGGGGGAAAAATGCTGTGAAGTGGAGGAACTTTATCTTTTCTTTTTCTTCACGGGGTGGTGCCTGCGCAGTGGGTATCCTGAATGTCACGGCAGCAGAGAAGGGGAAGTCGAACCCCAAGTCATGGTGCACGCTGCGGAAGCTTATCAATGAAGCAGCCATTTTGTCCCTTGTGGTTACACACATCCGTTTTGCAGTAAATATAGTTTCCTCAACAAGTAACGATGATGTAGTTTGGACGCGAGAGAAAACTTACTGGGCAATAAAAAATCACAAATCGAATATTACGGCATGGCCACTATGGACAAGGTCTCTGCAGTTAAACTCGAGGGAAAACTCAGCATTTGTGACAAACTCATTTTAAGGCAGGGAGTCATGACGCTCAGGGCCGGCGAATCCAACCAAACACACAAATCTGCTTCCTCTGTTCCTTTACACTCGATGTGAGTTTAATCAAGGACCCCTGTCAAAATCCTTTTAGCTTATATTGCCTAAAGTATCAGTCACTCCTGAGAAATGAAAAAGAAGGCTCTGCAAGATTCGGTCACACGCTTACTACATGAACTATAGTTCTATGAACGCAGACACAGGCAGGGTACACAGTGTGGTCGTGGGAATACTTTAACAAAACCGCACCCTACAATAAGGAAATATGGGCAATTTGGGAGGATATAAAATGCTGCTTATCCGCAAGCCTGGGCAATACCCTAACCCCATATCTGCCTCTAGGCGTGCCCTAGGTTCTTGCTGAAATAAACACGCAACAGGGCCCATGGAGAGGACAGGGGTTCTTTGGTGTCAGACGAAAAGCAGGTTCTTTACGGGAACTGAAATAGGTGTTCTCGCAAAAGGGATCAACTAGTGACTCAGACGTTGAGGTCTGTTAACAATGCTCGACCGTTCATTGACTCTTGCACTGCACCACATGATCGGAAAAGTAGCCTAACTTCTAATCATGGTTTAGAGCGGGAGTCATCTAAAAAGGTCGATAGGCCATCCCAGGTAAGATCATCTTTACATTGATGGCACCTGTCTCAGGCCTGGAGTTGATCTTTTTGCCGACCTGCGTTTGAAAATCAGACATTTTGCGCAAGACAGGTATCCGGCATGTCAACTGTGTGAAAAGCACCACGAGAGATTGAACTTAAAAACTCCTGGAGACTAGGAGCAATAACACATGTTGCAATGATATCGGAGAAAATATCCTTTTAGGGTTCAACAGAATATAAGGTGACAGGGTAACAAAAACTGTTTTAGAAACACAGATCATTCAAAGGAAGTTTTAAAACCTTCAGTAGAGATAGCAATGACCCGACGGTCTGTACTTTCACAAGTGACAAACGTTCTTGTAAATCATTATAGATCAATGAAACCTCTACCTCAGACTGCTAAATCTGTACTCAGGCGCTTGGTGGCTGTGTGTACAGAAGGAAGCATGCCCATTGTTTTGTTGCCGGTGGAATACCCCGTTGGATACCTAAACCCGGGACAACAATTTCCCCTCAAAACGTGCACCCACAAGGTCAATTTCAATGCCGGTTTAACAACTGAAACACTTTTGATGACCATATGTGTTTTGACGAAGGACTTGGTTTACAGTACCACTCACGGGCGTCGCCAGAATTTTTCCCAGGAGAGAAGGCAAACCATTTCTCTCCATGGGGTGAACATTCCGGGGGGCCCTCACCCTCCCCTCGCGACGTCCATGATAGTGCGAACTCATCTTGACACAAATGGTAATTGCGAATTTCCTCATTTGTAACAGTGAGCACATGATTTAATGCGTTCTACTCTTTTATAATTTGATTGTTTCCACATGGTTAGCACAGGTCTCCACTTTGGCCTTTCTTGAATGGAGCCACCTCGTAACTCCCTTCCCGCCTTCCTCCAAATCAAGGAACTGCTTTGAACTCCTTTTATTTTCCTCGACTACCTTCGGAATTTCCCTTAGACGGGACACTGACTTAGTCTGACCTCTGGATTTACTTAAGTGTCAAAATTCACGCAGTGCTCGTGGTACAGTTTCTTTGGTTAAGCAAGCAAATCTCGTTTTGACGACTACCTTCATAAGGTCACCGCCTCCATTTGGCAGAGACCTCACTTTTGCCTAGGTACCTGTCTTACCTTGTAATACCACATCTAAAATCTTTACATATAGTACCTTTACTTAGCACCCACCTTACCTTATCATAACATACCTATAACAACTTTGGTAAAGTACTACCTCATAACACCTCTAATACATCCACCTATAACACCGTCCAGCCTGAATCGTAAGTCGTGATTTGGCAGGTGTCATAATTCGCCATAGCTCTGTCTTGTCATACAAATTTCTTAACCTTCTTCTCAAAAGGAAATTGATATGGGGCTCACCCCTCGACTGCTCAAAGGTGTGGTCAATGGCTGGCCCGGTCCGTCTCGTGGGCGTCTTGCCCGTGTTCTCCTGCCAGTCGAAGTGGTCCTCGCTCGCCTCTTCAAAGCGACACGCTGGCTCGACGGGGGTCAAGCTATTAGAGGCCTCGAATGTACAGTCTGCTGCAAGGTCTGGTAAAGAAACAGAATGGACAGGGTTACAATGATTTGATCCCATGGAAGTTCACCACAATGTTTGTTCGCTGGGCTAGTCCATTTTCTTTACTCAGTTTACTAAATTCTGTTGTCTGCTTTACGGCAACGACGAACGATAGTAACATGAACAAATGCAACGAATATACTAAAATAGCTTGTCGGTATATCGACTTGTAGAATTTATCAAATTTGGTCTTAAAACTTTATTGGAGGTTCTTACCTCTTAATTACCTAAGATGTCGGGTGCTTATTGGGAAAATGCTCGTCTTTGCATGAATGCGGTAAGGGTTTTTGAGGTTTTGCTTCAGGTAATCTCCTTTTTGATAATTAGAAATTTTCACAACAAAATGGAGTTCAAATATCTTGCTTCAGGTAAACAAAAACTCACACGTCGTGTAGTTCTTGCGCTAATTATGATGCATTTTCTGGGTTGACAACCTGTCAGTCTGACGTGATTGTCAACAACCGATGCAAAATTCAATGAAGCCGAACTGCCAGGGGCAAACAATCTTGTTCGTGCCCTTTGTACATTTCTAAACTACTCCCATTAACCAGATTACCGGCGCATCCCGTTGAACCTTAATCTCGTTAACGACGGTTCCGGACCATTGAGCCCGACATGGTCTCCAACTAGGCAAGGGACGTTTCTCGGTATAGCAGCCGAGAGTAACGGGTTTGTTGCCCCGAGGTGTAATCTTGGCTCAGCTTGGAGGAGATGCAATTTCTCCTCCTGAAAGAGGTTTCCTCCCTGCTGAGCAGTTTCGTCATTTGCATCCAAGAGTCCCACCATGTAGGCGCTTGATATCCCATTGCTGCCAAGGGTCCTTGTTATGGATGTAGAGGGATAATGAGGTGTGACATCTATGAAGTGGTTGTAACTTTTCAGCGTCATGCGTGACGGAAGGAAACGATCTTGCATCACATTTTTATCTCAAGGGTAGTAATTGATAACAAAGGAAACAACGAATCCGATGCACTGCTTCACGACAAGAGCTATAAAGAAATAAACACTGTAGTGACTGGCATATTCAAAAGTTGATTAACTCGCTTACATTGCCATTTAAGATACATTACTCTGAATAACTGGTTTACGGATGGTCTATTGTTAGTGGATAGTTAGCTTGCTTTTGCAACATCTCCGTACACGGTCTCTTTTCTGCACACATTCGTAGATCAAAGACTATAATTATTTTCACACTCCTTTAGTCAAGGGCGTCATGTAAAAACACTAGACCAGCCAACATAGGTCCATGAAGCCGCCAGCGGCCATGGCCGCGCTGAATACAAAGGTCATACAAAGGCACGCTGCCCATTGTTGTCCAAATCGTTCGTTGTAACAATAGTTACAAAGGCTCGAAAGCCTGCGACTACCTTACTGTTCGCCACTGTAAAATGGCTGCCGGTGGCTTCAGTCGTCACAAGAGTATTTCCAGTCCAGACTCTTTTTATACGACGGATACAGACGCCTGGAAGTGTTCAAAACTCCGATTTATTAAAAGAACAACCTTAGTTTTGATAAAACAGCGAACAAAACCACAACTGTTCTTCATGAAGTAATCATTTCAGTGACCGTCCATGCGTTATCATCCGAAATTTCCGATGTTTATATCGCTCATCCCGACATGGCTTCACAGAGCTTTGCACACGTCTGCCCACTATTTCATATTTAATCGGGCGCGGTCAAAATTACTGTATACCCAGACACCGATTTCTCTAGGCACTGTTGGTCTACAGGAATTCTTATGTACTAGATTCTGGGGATTAAAGGAATGTCTTCTCTTTGTACGTTTATATCGAAGGATGTCGACATTTTATCTTCAACAGCGTGACATTTTGTAACAGTGAAATTTCGATTTTTTTACACGGAACCATACAATTATTGATGGTTGTGGGGGGCTACTAAATAGCTTTGCAGGTTAATTCAACGAAGACGAGGACACTCGCTCCATAAATAAATCCACCTTGGACGACTCCCTGCAAATTTCTCGGGGGTCCTCCCCGATTCGTCTTCAACTTGCGCGGTAAGTTTCTCTCCATGCAGATAGCAGAGTTCATGGAGGGGCCTCATGACTAATGTTTTACCCCGAAGCAGGAACAATGCAAGTCGTGAGATAACAATTTCGTGTAAAGAAGGACCATCTGCCCTCGCTTGTAAAGCCGTTTTTTTTTCAATCCGTCGAGCAATGAACAACAGGCAAAGACCATCAAGGCTTAAATTGAAGGTTCCCCCTCTGAGCAGATTTTTGACAACCAACCTTGAATTCTGGGAACACTAACGATAGTATGACCATTTCTATCCAGAAAAAAGGAGGATAGATTTCCTCATTAATACCTCCTTGAAACCCTCTAGCGGAGGAGAAACTCCGGAACAGCTGTAAAATATTCGCTCCCACCCCTCTCCGAACAAGGCATCAGTCAACGACCCTTCCGAGGTGTGTTAATCTGTGACAGTGCCGGTACGTTGCACACCTGCAACGTGTCTGAGAACCCGACCAGACACAATGTCCCCGTGAGGGAGGGAAACTGACTCGGAGAGTGGGTGCACTGCTTTTAAAACGCTGGGTTACTTCGTCCCCAGAAGGTAATGTTGAGCTATGAATTTAGGAAGTCATAATTACCTTCCAATCAAGCGGTGTGACAAATTGCCCCCGTTTTTCGGTCAACGATACTCTCTTATCGCCCTGTGAGTTCCTGCAACCTGCACGGCAGTTTGGAAGACTAACATTCAAGCATTCTGTGAGTTTTATATTTGAAATATTAATTAATGGAGGAAATCAATTCTTACCATGTATCGTAATATCGTCAATGGCGATATCTCCGATGATCCCCTTGCCCACCCCAGCTTCAAAGACAACCTAAAAAGACAAAAGGACCAAAAGGCTAAAATTGGCGGCTTCATCATACGCATCGGGAACGAAGGGAAATTAGATTGTGTCCAGGTCGTCGTCACTGTTAAAACAAATGGAAAAATGTTCTTTTTGGAGATTACATTAATACCAATGTAAAGTTTTAAAACCAATTCAACCTTTAGAAAAATTTCAGACGCATGAGCCGCGGGTAATCAAATTTACAGGCACGATTTGAAGTCCACAGGTAAAACTGGGGCTAAAAAAACAAATTGAAAGATTAATGTCTCGGAATTTCAAAACCTTCGAGATTTCTGTGGTTTTTTTGTTTTGTTTTGTTTTGTTTTGTTTTACTTTTCAGATATTTTAGTCACTTATTCCAACATTCCTTTTCGTTCATTAGAACGTCGATTTTCGGTCTCCAAAAGAACCAACTCGCTTCAACACTGACACAAAAAACCAAAAACTTTTTGAGGGCTCTGTTCTTCAACACACACTGAGATAAGGTAAGTCTAAGATTTCCCGTCTTATGACCTCAGTCAGGCATGACACCCTCCATCCTGAAACGCCACGCCCCTGATAGCGCATCTACCCCCCCATGGCCACTGCCATGGGTGCGCAATCATCCGTGAAATCCCTAATGCGCGGTGTTTCCAACGGCGTCACTCCGTAAAGGGAGAGGTCAGTCCCACTGTTCTGTGGAATGGGTCTCAAACAACTTAAAATTGTTTTCCACAAGCAAGCAATTATTAAAAACAGAAAGGCAGACATCCAATATTGTAGAAATTGAATGGAATAGTTTGCTAAACTAATAATTTTTTTCGATGGGGCCTTGTTCCCCCCCCCAAGAAAAAAAGAAATTTGCAGCATTGAAATAACAGGAACTGCATCCTCTAAAAAGTCACCAGAACTGTGTTCAATATATGCATACATAATGTTACCATTACCATCAGCGTTAACATAGTTTTCAACAGCATTCTAACTTTCGATTGACGGACATTAATAAAAACCCATCCCCAAAAACGAACCAATCGGAACCAAATGTCCACGTTCCGTGGGATCACTTGGTATGGCGTTTTTAAGAATTCCAATCCCAAGCCAGCCATGCACTTTAAAGTCCTCAGACAAGTTGGAGTGCAAAATTCCCATGACAGAATTCTTTTCACTTAATTCTCCAAAATCCTTCGTCAACTCCACCCCTCCAGCCATCAGGATCGACTCTGTCTGACAGAAATTGCAAAGCGACCTCTCCCTGGCAAGAGGAAATCTGTAAGTAGGCCTAGTCCAAAATCTTAATCATGAGAAACGGTGGCCCGCTGCTGCTAATGGAAAAGTTCAGTGAGGTCGAAGGTGACCAGAGAAAAAGCAAGGCATACTGCATGGTGGCCTCGTTTTTTTTCCGCGTCACGGGCTGATCCAGTGAACTTCCTCTCAGCCGGATATATACAGCCTGGTTTTGAAACAAAGTTACCATTCTCCCTCGAAGTGATCAACTGTCAATGCAAAACAGCCTCGAGGACTTTATTAAGAACTCGGTCACAGTTCAATATTACTTCCGTTTAACTCTGCTGTTCTCACTGCTAAATTAGAAACGTTCTGAAGAACGTGTGGGAAATGTGTTATACACAATTATTGGGTCATCTCTCTCACTTTTTCTGGGTGAGGAAAGCATACTTATAGGTTTAATTATTCACCAAAAAAATCAACGGCAAGAAAACCACGTTATATTTACATACATTTTTATGCCGGTCAGAAATCCGACGGCGGAAGGTCAAACTGATAGCATTCCGAGTATCTCAGAGCACATTATAAGAATTATAGTGCTTATACTTAAGAATTAATGGGTAACCCTTTAATTTTGGACACATTAAGAACCAAAAGGATGTCCGTTACATCTTAATTTGCCTAAACACTGATAAATTGAATAAATCAAAAAGACTGTTTTTTAATTTTTTCAAGCGCTCCTGTACCGCAAACACGGTCTCATATTGACTCATATTGTGAATTTTCAAGCTGACGTGCATAGTTCTTTTTCAACGAATTTCCATCCCAAAGGTGATTTTTGTCTCACTTGGATGGCATATGAAAAATCCAGCATGTATTGATGTTCAAGACTAGATCGCTTAGTCCGGAAGGATCCAATCGAAATTGTCTGGGCATGTATTGCGTACAGGAAATCGCAAACAGGAAAGCACAGAAAGTCTGCCCAGGAGAGAAAGCTACATGTAAATTTGCGGGGCTATACAGGGTAAAAGATGACCGAAAACGAGAGTCCATGACAGCAATGCGACTTCATGTATAGCTATGGGTTATAACAAAACTTGGAAACGGAAGACACGAGCAAAGAAATACGTGTGTTGAAGTGTGACAGTTTCCATTGTGGGCAAAACAAAAACTGGACAGGACGTATACAAAAGATGGTTGTTGTACGGAGGCACGTATATTGTTATACAAGTTTCACAGACTCGGTGGACTTTTTTTTTTGCGAAACAAAAGACAGTACTTTTTGAAATGTGTCCCTTGTCACGTTCTCAGACAAAGCTCCTTTCATTTTTGGTCGCTTCCTTTCCTCGCATTTATCTTTCTTCAACAAGTAAATTAAAACATGTAAGAATTTTTGATCACTGAAGATACAAAGTGACTGGTCTGTTGATAGAGAATCTGGATCTTTGAAATCAGACAGTGTAAAGAACGAGCTCCTTGAACTGAAAAGTCTTCTCATTTGAGACCGGTGACGGCTTTGAAGAAACTTCATGCAAAGTACTTGGTTGGGTGAATGGACCCCAGGGTGTGAAAACAAAATGTCTCCTACAATCGTTTCTGGAGGAGTGGTGCCAGGATGGAATAGTCTTTTGACCCTCTAAAGCCCTAATTTTCCCTAACCCAGTTTTGGGGGTGGGGGATATTGGTTGAGGACAAGTCCCGTCAGCTTTGCTAACAACGTAAGGCATCTGGCGCAATCGGATGCTTTGTGAGAAATCGTCTCTCCAACTGCGTAGGAACCTGCAAGCCCTATGTTCGGTGTACAACTTATACACACCATCTCACGTAATTTTCACAGATTCCTCGCATTTTATCCAGTTCACCTCGGGAACAATATAAAGCAGCTATGCTGCCACCAAGAGTCCCAATTTGTCTAACATTTAATATACCCGAAAGCAGAATGCCAGATTTTTTTGTACAATTAAGAAGACAAAGTGCTGGTTTTTTTAGGCGTTTTCCTGACTTGCAAAAGATTTTTGAGGGAGAGGGAGAAGTCATGAGGAAAAAAGCTCAAAGGCAACAGTCGTGCGTGATACTCTACACAATACAAACGGGGGAGGAAAATGTTAAAATGTTTACCTTTCTGCCATATTAAACTAATCACGTGATGCACAATTCTACCTAATTCTTCTAATTGATAGTGCATGTACATAAAAGTTAAGGCGAGTCTAGCGCGAGCCTAGAAACTGTCAGGTGAAGCTTCGCCCAAAACTCCCATCCTCGCCGTGTGCTGAGATCAGATCCCCGTTATTACATCGTCCGCTACACAGTGACTGGGTACCTAGAAACAGCGCTGCAAGGGTTTCTTGAATTCCTCCAGCCTGGTAAACTCAATCGTAATCCCAAGAGTCTTTTGCTGTCCCGATCCCTACAAAAGCGACTCTAGTCGTATAGGAACGTTATGTGGAAAGTCCTGGTTCAATAACAAGAACTTTTGGGGCTTTCCCTTATTGTCCTGGTGTTTTTGTTTTTGGAAGTTAAAAGTTAGCCATTTGTTGTGCTATAGGACCTGTCGGCAAAATGGCAACGATGGAACATTGCACAGGGCATGCACAGAACAACAAAAACATGGTTAACTTACGTAGTTATCCGAAATAGTTCTCAAGCCTCCAACAGTTGAAGAATTGAGCAAGTTAGGATTGTTACACGCAGTGTTAATAGTGTGATTGCATAGCTCAACTCCTCCATATTTTGCTACCTTCTACGGGTAATTATGTGAAAATTGGACATAACGGTCTCGCAATATGTCCATTTTCAAAGACAGATAGGCCAATAATGTTTATTTTCCCACTGATATGTTCAGTATACGCATGGGCCAACGCGTAATAGGAGAGCACAAACTGTAGATAATTGACCTAATAACTAAACCCTGTCACTGAAATGAAACTTCAGAAATTTACTTGGCTATGGGCTAGCTGGGATCTCGCGGAAGGTAGTGTGATCTGTCTCAGTCAGTGAAAAGGCTAAACAGGCCCTTGAGAGTTCAAACTCCTTTTTGTTTGTCGTTCTGTCTGTTTAATGGAGGATGTGAGGCTGACGTACAAGACGTCGCTTCATTCCCGGTTGGATAATAAGGACCAACATTCGGCAGGCAAGTATTTAGAGAAGCATTCCTGAGCTTACCTTGATGGTACTGTTGACAGGTAGACGTATCTCTCCCATGTGCCACACCGGCCCCAGGTTCCCCCGCCGTCTCCACTCGGGGGACGGCGGTCTGACGTCGCCCCGCACGGCCACAAACACCGTCAATCCGCCAATCTGCTTGCCGAACATGAAGTAATAGAACCTGAGAAGCTTCCGCTGCGGGCCGACGTTAATCGTGTGGCTGGTCAGCCTAGCCCGGGACCGCTTGGGCACGCGTTGCAGACCTTTCTTGGTCTCGATCGATGACCTGGCAAGCATGTATTTGCCTGCTGTTGATTTTTACAAAGACAAAGTTACACTTTTACTAACAGGCAATTTTGTTTTTTGGGGTTTTTGTAGCATTCTGTTCCATAAAGGATTTGTGTGCACAAAAGAAGAAGCGTCTCAATCTTGGTTTGAATGAAACATGAAGTAAGCATGTCTGTTTTGAGATTTTTTGGCATCAAAGCCAGTGTAGTATACAGTCAGCCTCCCGATGGGCATACACAAAAAGACTCTTCGAGTAAACAGATAAGTTGGCATGTATTGGTTTGGCACAGTATTGCAGTGAGTCTATGCCTTTCACAAGTCCACTCACCACTCCTTTCATCACAGTAATCAATAGTTCTAGGATGAACAGTGACAAAGGAATGCTTTTGTCTCAGTCGTTGAAAAAATTAGGACTTGGCTTACAATTTTGTGATGGACTTGCAGGGACCGGCGATGGATTCAAAAACAACACTGTTGCCACCTTCTTGTGACACAAAACTGTCAAATTTCATTGCAGAAAAGAGCCTTTATATGCCCAAAGTTTCAACTTTTCCCACAGAATATATTGATATCCAATGAGGTGATGATATGATATATACAGATATGCCCCTTCACTTTGGGAAGAAATTCATTAATGTGCTTTTAATACTGGTAATTTATATTTGGTTGCAGCTTTGTTAAAAACTTAAAGCCACAATAACTTTGACTTTTAATGTACCGGTACTCGAATGACACTTGAATGATCATAAGGAAGCAAAACGCAAAATAAACAACTTTTCGATAACTGAAGAAGTTTTCGTTATTATCTCTTCCTCCCCTCGTGATAAACTGAAATGGTCAGGATGGCTGTTATCGCCTGGTCTTCCGCCATTTCTTGAATGAAATAACCATTCAAGGAGCAAATTACATTTTGGACGGAACTCTTCAGGGATGGGCGGAAACATCAACTGGCAGAAAAGTTTGTTGACTAGGCCTATATATTATGTCAGAAACTATCTTTAAGGGTCATCTCTGAGCCCTAAATCAAATATTTTGTTACAAACATAGTGCGTTTAACATTTGATAAAAAGAGCATTAATCGAATTAATTTGGTAAAAAAGTATTACCTAACAGGCGAGTTGATAACATGCAAAATGAGTGCCGTCATGTGACCCCCCTACTCGCAATCCACAACTACATTGTGTAATTCCCGTTTAGGTAATGTCATTACGAAAGTAATTCTCTGTTCAACAGAGGAAACCAGAAATTTCCGAGAGATACATATTTATGTAAGCCCAATATAAAATAGTAATTATTAAACACTGGTTCGAGAACTATAATAATGATTTAATATTAATGTACTTTCAACGAGAGACAGAGAGCTTCCATGATACTCGCGTGCATTACAAATAGGCCTGTAACCGATTCTACGATCCTTAAAAATGCATGAAACGTGTTTGCGCGCGGTTGTTGACCAGTGTGACAAAAACCATAACGGCCACCACCACACGTCCTAATACACAGCATCAACAAGGGATGATTTCCATATTCCGACAGGATCTTGGCGACAATTACAATCAAACGGACGGTCAGGTACCACCAAAGTCTTGCCCAGAGCCCAAGCCACCAGCAGTCAACGCTGTCAAGGAAAGCCCCTTCAGATTTCGGTAATCTTCTGGGGATTATCTCTTCCCCTTTTGGACCAGCTGATATCAAACTCGTGTTCTTAAAGCTCAAGGCATATTGATGCAATACTGGAATTGCTTCAATTTCCCTTACTATGTCCTAAATCTTGCCTAGTCATTCTTTCACAGTGCTGAAATTAAATTTCTTTGTTATATTAGCAAGATCAGAACGGGTATGGGGCACGACCTTCGAGGGAAAAAAATCAACGATGCTCAAGTGTGCCTATGCCTATAGATCATAGCATTTCACCGGCAGGGTTAACCTGCATTATGTCATAAATGATGTACTTTTCAAATGGAATCTGATTTTATCAAAAGCATCACCGACGTTGCCACTTAGCACCCACCTCCCGAGCGATCCGTGGGTGGACCCGTGTTCTTCGCAGGCGTGCTTCCCTCATGAAGCTGCCAGTAATAGTCTGCATCACGGCCGCGAGATGCGATCCAGCCACACATCGGGTTGACGGCCTCGTCGAAGGTACACTCCTGAGACAAACCGCCAACTGCAGCGGAAGAATACAGGGATTTTTTAACAAGCGACGAAAAATAACAACATCGGAATTAAAATGGATCAGAATGCAACAGATGGATCAGCAAATCAGTAACAATATCGTGGTATATTTTTTTAGTATATTGGTATTTTATTGCATTACATTTACATATATTTCTCATTGGATTTAGTATATTTATTTGAATAGTGTACAACAGGGCAAGATAGCTTAACTTAGAAGACAGGTCGGAGGATAAAAATTAAAACAAAGGTTAAAGGCAAAAATACACTTTGAGATATGACGTATAATGTGATGACAGGAGTATTTATAGCCAAAATGTAAGCTAACAATGACCGTGAAACGATAAAATCTTGAGGAAGAAGGTATGCAGAAAGCAGTTGGGAAGACTGATATAAAAGGGAAATGGTAAAGGTGAACATATGTATGTATATGTATAGACATAGGCCCTACCTGTAAAGGTAACTCGCGAAAGGGTGAACGATGCATGTTTCATACATGAGAATAATGTTAAGGTGAATAAATTATGTAAGCACAAGATACCCTCTAATATAGCAAAATGATGTAAAGTGAAAACCGGCCTGGGCCTGGAATGATAAGTCTGCAACAATAATTCCACAAAGCTCTGGTTCAGAACATAGGAAATCCTAAAGATATATTCTTGAGGGCATCAGTGTTAGCGTCTGACACTTTTGGGTAGTACTGCATTGTATAGTGTTCCGTGTCGATCTTTTGCACTCTACGTCAATTTGCTTTTTAAAAAAGGAAAAAATAAGGGGAAAAAGAGAGACGAAAGAGGTGGGGTGCAAATCACAAATTTTGGGGAAAATGCACTGGATTTGATCCCCTTTTGTCCTCTATGGTTTATCAGCTTGCTGCTAATGAGTGCTTTGCACCCTCCCCTGGAAAAAAGTTTTGCGAGCTAGAAAAATCCTAACGACGCCCATGGCGAAAGCAAACCGGGTAATTTACACACAAGTTACACTACCATTTAGCAACTCGCGTCGTGCTACATAGCTGCAGTCGCGCACCCCTATCAGACATGGCCACATTAATACCCCGGAGACGCGTCCCTTTATACACACACATTTTAAACTTGTAAATTTAAGATACTTTTTAAAAATCGTTTAATTCAATCAATAACGAAAATAGTTACTGGATGTCCGCATGTGCATCGCTCAAATTTCCTGGCTACTTTTTCTAAAGTAAGCTTTGGGCTATCTGCCCTGTGGCTTCATGCTGACAGGTAACCGCTAAACAAGCATCTTCGGCTTACAAGGAACGGTATTATGTCATGAAGCTTTAGACAGTTTGTATTTCAGGATTATACAAGTCATGTAGTGCAGCAGTGTACCGATTGCTACAGTTGACCACAGCATCCAGTGACCACAGCACCTAATTTTGTACACGAAATGTCAGATGGTCCATATTTCACCGGTGTTTTTTCCTTTTGGCAGCGAGGACCCTTCTCTGCGGCAAAGAACACAAGGACAGCGGGCTGCGTCCCCGTTGAAATTAGTTTATATCGCGCACGTTCCTTTGATATTTCATTGAAGCTTACTGTTGAACTTCCTATACAGTCAATTTCCAGGCACAATATGGTCACATGGCAATGCCTGTACCCAAAAATACCCTCTCATACATGACACTGTAAAGACTCCCCCAAAATCCACCAGAGAAATGCCAATATTATTATTATTAACGTCCCAACTGATCCCTGTCTATTTATAGTGATACATTGGCTGTGGATATCTGCCCAAGGTTTCTTCCCTTCAAACTGCGTCAAGTGAGGTGATTGATGCGTCAACGGCAGAGAGAGGTTCGCGTGTTGCAAAATGATTCATATCAAAGTTTACATCACCAGGAAAACGGGGGACCTGTTCGCCCCAGGCACTCGAGGGGTGTTCGAGGGGTTGGAGCACAGGGAGAGCATGGGGGGCTGGAAATGACAAGCTAAATTCATGCGTCGTGCTTCAGGTAAAATGCTCACCAGGCTCACAGTGGTGCAACCCATACAACTATTATCTTACTGTTCATACGTGACGGGGATGTTGTCATGGGACTTGTAAGAATTACTGATGTGTCTCCCGTGATACTAGTCAAACTACCTGCCTAGCAGGGGTTGAGCCTTGTAGAATATACATATACATTACTGATGACCATTACCTTGCTTTTCTTCCGTGGACTCTAACGTATAAGCCCCATTCTCTGATCAGTGCATAGAGAGTTACATGAAGTAAAAGATTTTTTCTGAAATTCAGGCCGATAGTTTTAGGGATGTAACATTCATGGTGTTTACGAGGCAAGAAAATTCATCTCTTGGGTTCCTTTTGTGCATGTGAAGCCACATGGGATCCAAATAACTAGAAAACCGGATTACACTGTTTCGTTGAAATTTGTTATATCGTCTGGACTAACCTTTTTGGGAGGAGGTGAACCGTGAAATTGGCACCCAATATATACGGACAGCTAGGCGATTCATCAAACCACGACCTTGTTTAAATAATAAAACTGAACCATAAGCCTCATCACTGGGCTTCCCAATCAAAGACACCTGGTGCCCAACACTGTTAGAAGCGGAAATCCGACTCGGAAACCACTCGTGGTCTGCAACGGCGTGCCTATTCCCGAATGGGCCGGACGAACCCCTCGACAGAATAGCCAGACGAGTGACTGCAGGATGAACAGAGGGTTTCATCATGAAACGCGGAAGTTACAACGGTGCTGGTTGCTTTCCTTCGCGTTCTTATGATTTCCGCCATTACCGGCCCAATAATCCTTTTTTGTTGCATTAGGTGACACTGCATTCTAAAAATAAAAGTGAATGAGGAGACCCATCCGTACGATACGTGTCACGTGCAATATTAAGTGTATCGGTAACCAAATAGTCTGCATGACTTCGGTATCTTGTGATTACAGAAATTCTCGTATCTCTTCACGTATTTTCAGAACTTAATTTTTTTCAGACACCAAACGTGCGCTTCCGACGGGCAGGCCCAGGGGATGGACGGATCTTTCCCCTTTGGGAAACCAAACTTAAGTGTGGAATCGGATAGTTAAAAAGACTCGTATATCCCCCCTGCCATATGTAATAACTGACAGATTGGGCTTACTGGAGGGAGCGTACCAAACGTTTAATCGCAGCGCCAGACGTTCTGGAGCAACGGAATGATGATGGTTGTGCCGAGTCGACCACCAATCGAACCTATCCAAGAGCTGGGTCCACTCAAAGGTGTTCCTTCTTTGACAAGCACTCGGAATATCATAAAGTAGGCCTATTTACTGAGTGACAAAAGCACGCGCAAATAGACGAGTACCTTGACATACTTTCATCTCCTCCTTTGAAAGGCCACAGTTTGACAGCAGGAACCAGCTTGTCTGTTTTTGCTCTTTCACTGAGACTAAACAGCCACCCTTCCTGATATGAATTTAAATGCATTTAGCAATTCGCGTGAACCAGTGAAACAGTGGACGGAGTAATAGCTTAGGTTATTTATGGTACCCACAAAGCCATAGACCAATCCAATAGAACCAACTGGACAACAGGGTGTGTTTTTGTCTTGTTCAGTGGCTTTACCAACGGCGACAACTACGGTACATGAACTAGCACAAGCAAAAATCCTGGATTCACCTTTGAGTTAACCTGTGGGATCGATAATGATCGATAAATGGCCATGATATTGCATTGAAAGCGAGGTTTACTTTTTTATTTTAGCACCTGAGAATGAAAATGAAAGCACTGAAATCAAAGTTCCTTACAAATTAATCTCAATTATGTGGATGAAGAATTAAAAATATGTGATTGATGAATCTAAATATTTTTAAGCTACATTAAAAAAAGAAGGTGAGGCATGGAACTAGAAATAACCTGGAACCACCCCATTTAAAATAATATTACACTGACTAAGATTCTGGCAACACAATCAAAAATTGTTTCCCGTGAATAAGGTTTTTTGATGATCTTCCCTGCGTCACTACACAAGTGGGAGGCAACCCAGACATCCTACCCAGTGGGAACGGATAGATCCGAAAAACCCCTTCCTTCCTTAACGATCACTCATTTAAGGAAATCAAAAATACAAAGTGGCACAAAGACAGATGTAATATGACCCTAATTAATTCCAATGAACGAAGCAGATCAAAACCTCAAGGGAGGTAGGTTGGATTGGGTCTGCACAGATGGTCGGATAACGACTCTCTTTTGGCTCGAAGGTATAATTGGTGTGGCATCTGGTAGCTTTCACTGATGTCTCATCTAATTATCTTTTGAAACAGCACACGCTTGAGATCCGTTAGTCTGACAAAATGAAATTCCCTATAAATCTCTGCATTAACCCGAATTCCGTTTAAGTATAAAAAAAGATCCTCGATCTTTTTTATAAGAGTCTTAAATCCTTCGGACATCATCACAAAAGATATGAATCTTTGTGTTTATCAACGGAAGGATCCCTGACATAAACTTTCAGGCCTTAGTTGTTTATATTCTTGAACGTCAGCAGGTACCCTCAACATCAATGACAGGCTCTATACACTTCCCTTTCTCCTAGCATTAAATCAGCGAATGCTGGAAATTGTGGCAATAATATGACGTTTCTTCTCTATACTAGTTAATGGAATGTCATATGGGACTATATGGCGAACTTGTGTCTGTTCGTGTGGTCCCGTTACTGTCAGATGTCTCATTCGGGGAAGGGTCTCACTGCAAGTTTCTTCACATCACGATTTTCTTTCGAGGAGGTCCTGGTGTCAGAGACAAGTCGTCAGTCGAGAAATAGCATGCATGAGGCCAGAAAATAAAAGACGTCAAGAGCGGCACATATATTCTCTGTTCCGGAACCAGCGTTTGTGAAGACTTGACCCCGAAAAACACTTCTGGATCGCACACAACAGCTTCATCTCGCACGTTTCCAGCCAACGCCAATCAAATCAGCCTGAAACACATGGTCTTCATTCTGCACTCGGAACAAAGCAATCAAGAAAGCAGAACTGACCAG